GTTTAACAAATATAAAAAGAATTTACTTGGGTCAAATCAGTAGAGTATTGAAAATTCATTATGAAAAGTGAGACATTTGAAAAAAAACTTTTCTATCATCCACACAAACATGCTTTTGGTGAATTGAAGTTGATGTTTATTCATGCCTATCTGATATGACTGTGTTAGTTTTTCTTCATTACAAATACTTGAATAAACTTTTGTAAAACATAAACAATTCGAATAAATTCTATTACTTTTGGTAAAGAATCTAGTGTAGTGGTTATTTAGCGAAATTATTTTACGATGATTGGTTTATTCTGTATTTTCTATTCGTTACAGAATTATCTCAGTTAAATTACTACTGAAAACCAGAAGGGGGCACTGAAAAGTTGTTTTATGTATAAAGCTCCTATGCATTGTATATGTACGACTGCACTAGGGGATAAAACTTAGGTGCTTTTATGGTGTAAGCTTAATCATGGTTAGAATCATTAAGCTGGAGTCCAATGGTATACGATTTCGACGTCAATGACGTGCCAGAACGGCGATAAAATAGAGACAATTAAGGTCCAAAACTGTTTTCATCAACAGGAAATGTATTCAATAAAACTGACAGATACCAATTTAAGTTTTCCGTGCATATTCTAATTGAGCATTGTGTATTAGATCTTTGTTTACTTTTTAAGATCGTTCAAGTACTTAAGTTAGTAGATAACTGAGAACGGGATAGGATCCATGTCTATGAATTTTTAGTGCATTCAACTTTTAATGTTTGATGTGTGTGGAATATCTAGCATCTATTTGTTCATTTAGTGAGTGAATGCTGTGTACAAAAGCATAATTTTCATTGAGAATTTCGTTTCAGGCTCCAACTTTTGCTTAATTTACTTTTTTTCCATACAATAAGTTGGGATGCACTAGTGTCATATTCATAAAAGGCATATGGAAACAAGTTTTTATGATTGAACTAAAAGCTTCAGTGGAAATCATGCCTTTATATTACAGCAATGACACCCTAAATGAGTGAAGAAAATTCTCGATATCACATTGTTATTGAATATAGAAAAAAGATGGTTGTCTCCATACATGGGTACAGCAGCAACAAAGTCAAGTTAAAGGTGCGAAAAAGTAGAGGAAAAGAAAATTGAAAATAAGCACGAATATAAACAAAAAATTAATCATATGAAATGAGTGGATGAATAGATGAGAAATGACTCATCACTAACTTAAGCATTCATTAATTTACGAGAGTAAGTGAATTTGCGTGACATAAAATAAGAAGATAGAAAAAGGGGAAGATAAAATGCCATAAGACAAAGTATTATGATTATAATATATATATATATATATATATATATATATATATATATATATATATATATATATATATATATATATATATATATATATATATATATATATATATATATATATATATATATATATATATATATATATATTAACTTCACACACGATATCAGACATGAGTGATGTCTATATTGTTTCCAAGTGAATAGCAGTAGTAACAACAGCATGCATGCACAAACTGCTATATGAGCAAACAGCACAAGTTTGAAATACATACATTATAAATTTTCGATACACAATAATTATAAATACAATCACAAAAAATTGAAGAAAAGGTGTGGTTGTCAGTTTTATTAATTAAATCAACAATACAACAATATATTACTATGATTAGGAGGAAACTGCTATGTCAAAACACCACAATGCTATCAGTAATTGGCGTGTTTACGTAAATCAATGTGCGTATGAATACTCAAACGGGTGTAAATGAGAAAAAAGTAGATTCGAGATCGGTAAGAAACGAAATTAGATAGGTAATAATTGTTTGTTAAATACAAATATGTGAATACCTCGACTACTACCGCTATTATCAATCTAACTTGAAACTGTACATTAACACAGATGAAAACAATAGGGGGAAAAAGGTGGAGATAAACGAATCGTTATCCATCTTTCTGTCTGTATATTGACGCTTCGTTATGTTCTTTTTACACTTGCGTATGTACACATACACATACTGATATGCATACAGAACAAGTCATTCTGACATCTAATTATCATGGTTACTGGGTTAATAAGATATAGAGAGGAAATGGAGATGTAAAGTATTCAACTAGTTTGTCAGTCAGATATTGACTGACATTATTTGGATTATTACCGATCGACCACTTCAAACATATTATTGTTACTATTACTACTACTGAATGTTCCGATGATTAATGAACACAACACTGATCAAGAGATAAAACACAAGATAAAACATTCAAACTAAATTAATGAAATAGGAGCATGTTCTGTTCTGTGAAAAATGAGAATCTAGATCTACTACCCACCAAACAAAGACAAGGCACTAACTACAATTAAAATCAATGTGGCTTATAAAATTTACAAGTTGTCTAGTCTGTGTAAAACTAGACTTTATTTATTCATACATCATGTGATATAAAAAAAGTGTATTGACCTTGTCTGAAATCTCATTCAAACTGACACAACAATAAAAAATGGCCGGTGCATAGTTGAATTTAGAAACTAGTGATAGTGGGAGAAATTTTAGAGGTCTACATAGAAGTGAAATAAACACACTTTGTAAATCAATAAAGGATGGGAAGGTGATTGTCGAGATTGACCAATGTTAAATTGGTTGAGAAAAAATGGAGGGGGGACGGTTTGTGAAACGACCTTGTGGTATCAAGAAAAGCTGCGTAGAACTGGCATTTATCGGATCATGACAACCATACTGGATAGGATCCTATTGGTGGTGCAACTCAAGGGCTGGCGACATTATCACACAAGATTCAGAATAGAAACTAGTGACGATCTTACACGTTTTCTTTTGCGTTATTTATAAAAATGAGTTGAGTTTCGTCAACTGAAAGTTTTTATTAGCTGATTTTTTTCTGAACTGTATCTTCTATTCAGTTAGTCAGTAACAACTTAGAACTTCGTACGTACGTACATCAATTCGAGTTGCTATACCACATCAGCACAGAGATGCAGTTGTCGATTCAAATCCCATAGTGGTAGAGGTAGTAAGAGTATTGGGTACTATTCATTCATGTTCATTTGTGCTTTTCTGTTTATACTACTCTAGGCTCTTTTATTTCTCCACAATACTATCGCTCTGTTTCTGGGATGAGTATATTTTTGGTGCCTAGGTTTTGTATTAAAAAAAGATAGGTAACTATTGAAGACCACGAATCGCTAAATACTTGTCTCATGTACGTCCGCAATATTACAAACTGGTAAAAATTGTGAATGTAAGCCATAGGATGTCAATAAGGTGAATGGAATAATATGTTATTAACGAGCCTATCACAAGCCTTCAAGGGGTTTGATCTTTAGTAACGTAGTTGGAGTCCACTCTATTTATGAGTCCCATATATATATATATGGCGGAGACAACAAATTAGCGTCCTTCTCCACAATTCTTAAATGGAAAGCAAACAAGAACAAATGAAGATAAGTAAACTGGCAGTGGTAACTAGTCAGAAACGCAAACATCATAACGCGTAGATTTTGTACTTGTGAAACAAATCGTTTATAAAAACTAATTCCAATTAAAGTGGGATGACAGTAATTATATGAACTAGAACAACAATGAAAATGTTTCATAACTATGAACGACACATCCGGTTATAGAGTATAACACTCAAAAAATATTATCATCGAAGTGATAGAATTATAAATTTCCTTTTCCAGCAAGTCATTTCGTGCAAAATATATGAAGACATTAATGTTAGAAAACTATACTGACCCTTTAAACAAAGTGTGTACACATCAGAATTCTGAAAAATCTGTTTATTTACCATTTCTGATAAACAGTAGTGTTCTTTGGATCATGGATATGAGATGAACCTGTATAACAGTTTTTCATCTTCCGTTTCGTACTACCAGACATTGAATCAGTAGTTAAATCTAACAAAATGTCTTAATATTGCGCTCTGTGTACTAACCAACACTGGTCTGTTGAATTCAATATCATGTGTATGATCGTAGATATGTGCAATGTTAATAATGAAGAATAAACAAACATACAATAGCTCTTCTACTTATTCTGAAAAGGATTTTAAGATTAGTTTAATTCGTAGGTTATATTTGTCATAACTTGATCTTAATCGAGGGATTATCTTACTAGTGACTTCCAGGTGTTCCCGAGTCTGATCCTTGACGAGGTTGTAGATGCCCACAGCTAGTCAGTCCCATACTAGGACGAAATAGCTGTCCAGTGTTTCTCAGTTTTCAATGGTAACCCAATCGAGATCAAACAATGATGAATATTCCCGTTATACGTTAATCACTTAATTATTTGATGTCGAATCTATGGCGAGATTGCTTTTACGGCTAAAGTGGATTTAAACAAATAGTCGTGTATTTAAGACAAAACAAACAAATAAGTGACATCTATATTTAAAGAATAAATAATACAATTAATACATAATCTCTTCACCAAACTAGTTTCAAATATTTCAGATTAAAACAGAAAAGTAAACAATGGTTTATGGATATATTCTAAAAGAACACATTTTCAATAGATTGACAATGTGTATGTACATTTCAGATTAGTTAGTGTTGTTGTTTTTCCCCCCGTCAAATTTTTTATTTGAAGATATAACAGACGACATTTCAATCAAGCATATCTTCACAAAGGCCACAGGTCATATATAGAAACAGATGCACAAATACAAACAAAATAAAGTACCAGTGAAAAGAAGAAAAGGCGGGAGCACTGGTCACAACAACATTAAGAAAGGACGCATTGACAGAAAATTAGTAAACATCTTTAATTATATGCACAATTCTCATTGTTTTTCAATCCACGTAAGTAGGTGGTAGGTTAGAACAAAATGCACTTGTGTAAACACAGATGACCCATTTAAACTGCAGTCTAGCAGTAATAATAATAATAATAATAATAATAATAATAATAACTCAGTAACGGTCGCCAACAATAACGGTGATACCAATAAGCAAAATTAATTAATGCAACTAACCTGCATTGTTTGTCGAATTGATGGTTCTAAAATAGTCGGATCAATATATGACCACCCTTTCACCTTCCGCTGTATATACACATATGTATTGAATAAAAAATCAAGTAGATAGATAAAGAGAATAAGAGTTCAATTAAATATTTGAAACAGAAACGGATAAACGCACTAATCAATCAAGTAACAATAAGGTTGCGTAATAAAGGATATGGAGATTGTTGAGTTTATTATTAGAAATAATAATTATAAACAGACATTAAACTTAACCTCATACACTATTGAGCTAAGAGTTGATGTTTTATGTAAACGGTATTTTAAGCTAAATGTGACCATTTTCTTCAAGATACTACGTAGATTATCTTTTATATTTAAGTAATGCAATTCAATTTGGGAAATAGCCAAGTTATCGTAACTGAATATCATTAGTAAACATGATTTGTGGTTTTAAATCTACTCATAGACACACTCTCTCGTTGAGAATATGAAGCCGTCTGACACAAAATATTGCGTGAAACAAATTCGCTACCATAACCTTATATCAAACGCATAAGGTAATCATTTCCTACATTCCTTCTTCCATGTTTTAGATCATCCTATGTGTGTCACCTTGCAACATGAAACTGAGCTTGACTTACGTCTGTGCAAACCATAATTTTGTACTTCTCACATGCAGAAAACACTGATTTATAAATATTTTATGACTATAACACCACATAACACTATGAATACGTCATTTTATTAGAGTATTTATTGTTTTTCATACACTATTTATCAGACAAAACTATATTACTTACAAGATTGATGTCTATTACTGTGTATATACTGTCAATAAACCTTTACATTAAAAGTGCTGTTGTCCATGAAGATGCATTTCTACACGCATTATTTTATACCTCAAAAACTTCATAATGATGATTATCTCCGTAACAAATATTCGGTGTGAAGAACAATTTATATACTCAAATTTGATACACGCGAACATATAATTAATGGTAGACTATGATATGATATTAAATCAATCGGACGCAAAACTTTTAGCTGATCCTACTAGTCACCATTTCCCGTTGTTAGACAGTCTAGTTTGTTTAATTTTCCTTCGAAAATGTGGCGACTAGATAGTAGTACACTTTGTCAACGTCGAATGATAAAGCTAACAATCATGAAGAATGAATAATTTATTGTGTCTGACAAGTTATTCAATGAATAACGCCATACCAGTAAAAAAATAACCCATTAAATAGCGAAAACATTTTGGATTTCTACCAAACATAAAATATTTGATTGAACAACTATTAAAGACATAAATTACTTAAGAATGTGTCAGACAATTTATTTATTCTACATATCAATTCTGATATCATTTAATCTCGCAGTGTTTATGGTGGATGTACACATACTGAGTTGTCAAGATATATATGTGACTTACTTCAGGACCTTTACGTCTAGAACGTTTTGTACATTCAGGAGGAGCACAACAGACAGGTGTCCAATCAGGCTAAACAGTTTAAAAGAAAAAAAACAACAGGTGAGACTACTGAAACTATAGAAAATACGATGCTTTGTTGGTCGTTGTGCAATAAAATGTGTACAGATAATCCATTAGGGGGAGTACGAAGAAAATAAACACAACTTGCATATTATACAATAATACATAAATAGTTTACAATGAAAACAACAATGAGAATTTATTAACCGATCTAGAAAGCACAATTAATCGATCATTCAGTTGTGAACAATGTCGTTTGTCTGCTCAGACTTCATCAGTTAAGTTGAAAAGTGGTCGCCACAGTCTAAGTAACTTGACATTGAGTGTATTGTGTTGAAATGTTAGGTGGTTAAAGGTAGTTTGCAGGAAATTTTAGACCTGTTTCATGCTATGTGGAACTTAATGTAGTATATTGAGGAAACTAATGCATTTTGGCTGGTCTTATTACTTATCACCCAGCTTTACAGTTACCACTAAGCTATTTAGACTGCGACTAACGTTCTGTAGGATATCTTAGCATGCTGCACATGATGTCAAGTTACATAGACTAGTAGCTACAATGCGACTTGATCGACAAAACTCGACTAGGACTAAAAGTAGTAGAAAAACGGTAAACAACCAGTTATAAATATATCAGTCCGGTTTATGAAGCTGAGTGATGAGCCACAAGGTAATAAACCCCCACAATACTACAGGCACACGTGTTTGACGAGTTTCAAATGGGACGAAACTTAGGTCTAAAATTTACTTTATACCACCTCCGACTATCTGATGGTTACAAAGTACGTTGCTCAGTGTTTGAATGCACACATTCTGCACATTTTTCGCCAATGACCGGAAAGAAGAAAGGCAAACTAAGGCAATAAACCAATGAAAAAGAAAACCAGTCAGGTAGATATAATCCCACTACAAAAGATACTCATCTCTACTGATGAAAAAAAGTCCTTTGTTTCTTTTCCGGTTTTTTAAAAAAAAAACAATTCATCAATAATATTTTAGTTTGTAAATAATGAGAGCAAGTCGTGTGTATATCTGTTTCGAAAGTTGTATTATAACAACTGGGGTCAAAACACACATATGTACCAGTCTTTAAGATGATCATGATTGACTGACTGATTACGCATATAAATAGAATCTTTTGAACTTTAAAAATATAAAATATAAATTTTTTTAGAAAATAGATTGGATAATAATTAATCAATCAAGAAAACAGATCAAGTAAAGTGATAATAATGACAGTCACTAAAACATATTAACATACTTCCTATCTGTCAACACAATCAATAAAGAAGCCTCACAAATAAGAGAACAACTACTGAGAGCTGAAATCAATTTATCGAGAAAGTACTTCAAATCAAGTGATTCATTTCAGAGAATTTATTGGTCACGTGAATCTGTTTGTTGTTAGCATTATCATTTGTAAAGCGATTGCGCTTTTTCGTTGTTAATGATTGAAGTCTGATTGTATTTGATCAAGCTCTCTGAGTGAATGTTTTAATATTGTCCGTTGATTGAATTTTGGATATGGGTAGTTAGCAGTAAAAACATTAAAAACACGAAACTATAAAACTCTTACAAATAACATCAAATACCATAACTGTTGAACAAGTTGATGGCTATCATAGATTAATAGTTAGTTTGGTGAGTAATGATCAAGTATTCAAAGAAATAAGTATTGAATTCGAGTATCACAGTGCGTTTCAAGGCTGAGGAGTAGGTACATTCAACCGGTGAACCACAAAACGGATAAAAACAGCATCCTGAATCGGATTGTTGGCTATTTATCCAATATATTATTAATTCTAGTGGGATGTTTATTTCTTCATCCGAAAACTAGTTTATTTTCTTGTGTTTAAATTTCAAACATTCGGTTAGATTGAATGACTGACGAAATAAGTTTATTCACCTCTACGCAAAACAATTATATATCGAGGTTTTTTCTGTCAATTTATTCGATGGCCAACAGGCATCCTGGAGAATGAAAATATATAGAATTGATCGATCATAAATAATAATCAATGTCATGTTAGTCTAGTACCTTGATATTTGGGTATGAACAACACTCCAAGTATGAGGGTTGGGTATAGTATTCAATTCGATTAAACTGCGATGACAATAAAGGTAATGTTTGTATTCAAATACTGACAACAAAGACGTACCCCGGGATAATATTTAAATGGTTTGTCGCCAAAGTTCAATTCCACGGTAGAATTCAACAAGGACACAGTCGGATATAATGCTGTCAAATTTTTAGAATGTAACAATTCAGATGGAATTCGATAAGCTTCACCAAATTCCAAACCATTTTTCGACCATTTAATAGTGTGTTCAATCGTATCCAAAAAGCAGCCGATCACATCATCTTTAGAGAATGCCTAAACGGTGAAAAGGAAAGGCAGAGGAAGAGAAAGATAACAGAACATAGTTAGTTGACCAGTGATTAGGTTTATTGAATGAAATGAAAATACGAGACCTGTAGTCCAGTATTAGCTAAAACCAATAGACGATGACTTTATAAAATGATGCCACGTTTTTTTATCACTTTCTAACGAATTAGCCAACTATTGTGCCAGTGTCACGATTGTGGAGTGGTTGAGCTTGTGCTACAACACATTGGTCAACAACGGTTTGCAGTTTTGCTAATCAATTTGACATTTCTGACTAATATATCTTTTGATCAGAGGAAGGACACGTCAATAGTGCTACAGATTGGTAGAAACCAAACGAATCTTTCTAACACTATCTGGGTGCCCAAGTTGATGTTTGAGGAACGTAATTAAAAATTTTAAACCTTAGAAGTTAAATATGACTGTCCGGCTATTAAAGATGCCATTGTGCAACATATTTTGCACTCAGGACCAATCATAAATAACATCTTAAAACAGGAAATCCCTGACCTTCAGGTCACACAGAGAGCGCTTAGCCTTCAAGACAACTGAGCCGGTATTCGATTGTTTATGTTTTCAAGTTAAATGAATCCACGGAATCGCGCAACGATATTCCAACTTCATTAATCAATAACTGACTTATCCAATATTGTTGAACTGAACTACTGGTTACTGCTTCGCACTATAACTCCAGGGATTACCACTCGAAAGTAATCACTAGTGACCCAACACATTAAAACTTAGCAATTTCTACAAACATTTTACATTAATGATTCTACTACGTAAATGACTCATTTTAAACTATTACAACGTTGAGTTAAATGCAGTAAAAATTGCCTAGAGTTCAATACACAGAATGTTATTCTAACTCATATTCGCAGGATTCAAAATACAAAACTATAAAAATCTATGTAAACTAAGACAAACAATTCAAAGTAAACAGTAAATTAAAAAAAAACGTTCACTAACACAGACCTTATCAGGACATAGTGTAAATAAATTCAATAGCGAATTAATTAGAAATCATTAGTATTACGCATTATGCATAATTATTATTATTACTATAAGTTAAAGTGCCTGAGTGTGTGTGTGCGTATATGTACACAGGTATACTAATAATAGTCCTTTAGAAACAAACATAAATACATACATTTTTTGTCACTATTCCATACATAAATAAATAATATCCAAAAATCTGTACGGACATTATTTAAATATACATCTCTGCATAGTTGTAAACATTTTTTCTAAAGTAAACATACAAAGGAAATTGCTAAAACAAAACGCGTTAAGTTTGAAAAGTAACAGTCATAGTATGGACAACAATGAAAGGGATTCAGAGAAAAAACGAATCAATAAAATCGACAGTAAAATAATAATAATAATAATAGTAATAATATGTTCATTGACTCCAATATGTGGCCATAAAATACCTAACATTTGCAAACATTAATAATTTTGAGGTAGACATTCAATTAGAGGAGAAGCAAAGGAGATTGATGAGTAATATAAACAGTGAATAGAAGAAAACTGGACCTATCGTTCTCAGTCACTTAAAATACAAGGAAACAGAGACGGCGGTTTCGTGAAGTTATTTTGGAGTCCATATTAGTATAACTCGGGTGTAGTAGAAACTCCAATGTACAGATAAAAATGGGTTACTCAAGAAACTCGTAAGTAAGTAGGGAGAATTATAAGCTGAAATTCAGAACATTGCTAGCTGGATATACATCAGCCTTGAAAGTATTTATTCAGAAAATTGTGAAGTTATACGATAAAATTAAGAAGATTGGAATTCCATTTGGTGTTAGTGAAGAATGAAAACAACTATCAAGTAATAAGACCTGTAATGGTTACAGGGAGATATATGAATGATAACTATTAAATACACCATTTTCTAATAATCAGTGTGAACTGCTTAGCAATTAATAAAATATTTTTGCGAAAATTTGTGAGATATATGAAAATTGCGCGGATAGTTGCTTATTGATGTCACGCAGATAAATGAAGTTTATTTTTAAAATGGGAATTTTGTAGACAGAAAATTAAAACAAAGTCAAAAATTCATTCTTGACACTGAACTGGGGAACAATAATAAAATGAAATCTGATAAATTATCTGAACTCTGTTTAAATCTAAGTTATAACATTTGGAATTCTCATTAATTTGGGCAAATATGTTATCAAGAACAGACAAAAAATTATTTTTCAAAGTTTAAATAACAAACTGATCTTAGGTCTTGATAACCAAGACGCATTGAACAAATGTTTTGTTCCGGTGTAGGAAACCGTTGTGCAATATTGTGAATTGATTGAACGTAGACTTACACACCATTATCTATCGGTTTATTGGTTTAGAATTTACGTTTCAATGCGCGAAATCGAAGGACCTAGATTTGATTCCCGGTAGCGAGGTCGTAGATGTCGACTTCTGATGAGTTCCATTTTACGGTGGTACAGCTGTCTAGTGAATTTTAATGTTAATCTAGCCAAAATCAACTCGTGATTCAAACTATAGAAGTCTGTCAGTTTAAAAAAATTCCCGTATATACTAAAAATAATTTATCTGTCATAGAAAAACAAAATGTAACATACTTCACCATAATTTTCAATCTCATCACAATGTATACGTTTGCCTTGTTGTCCATTCAAACCGAAACCTTCATTATCTGCACCATAACCGAAACCATATTGATCTGTGCCAACAATTAAATTTCCATCATCTGTTGACCAACCGACTCGCCATAGTCCAGTAGATTCAATAGGAGTTACTTCAAAGTAGAAGCGTCCAAGACCACGAATACCCTAGGGGAGATGAAAAAAATGGATACATAATAATTATGAAATAGTAACACATAAATCAGAGGAATATGGAACCAATGATAGTTTTATTTAAATTAATTGAGCATGACAATGATGATTACGATTAATTTCACGTTTGTATTACAAATATATCAACTGACTTTTATTATTCATGAAGTAATAATCTAAGACTGTGGATGAAACAAATTAACAACACACACACAAATACATATGGTAACTAAATGAGATTCTATCGCAGTACACGTTTTTATGTAATCAAAACATATATGTATATATAGTTAGTAATGTACGCCCCAAATGAGATACAATTTAATGAAGAGAAAATTTTTAAGTAATCGTTAACAGATAGAATGAATGTGCAGATATGCAACTCAATCTAACATGACAATTAGTTGACCTAATTCAACATGATTGTTTTATCGAAGCTTTCCACTGCTTTATTTTGTCATATAAGAAAAGCAGATAGTTTTTTTAAAAGGAATGGCAAGTGTTGTCATTTCATTCACAATCAGTTACAAACAACGTAAAACTTAGCACATCTGCGCATACAATTTAAATTGACACACAACTACAATACACAGAGAGGTAGAATTATCCAGGCGGATGCAGCAATAACAGATTAAACAATATGATTCAAGAATGAATTTGAGAAATAAATGGTGCAAGTAGATAGTTTTAAATTTAAAGATCTAAAGGAAGATAAAAAGTAAATAGATCTGTTCTATTGTAACTTAGACTGGGTTATATCACTAAGTCTGCAACACTTGGTCGTGATTAACACTTAAATCCTAGACAGGTAACATTTACCTACTTGTCGAATTCAGTCTAACGGTTAATGTCTTCATAAACTGATGTCATTAATTGGCCACTTTCAACTTTCTTCCAACCTACTCCCCTCTACTACACCCACAAGCATTGTCCATGCAGCTGGATGATGATTTTAAAAAGAAGTAAACAAGTAATGCTACAATAACGTTTTGGTTTAATGTATGGTCACCGTCTTAGATTAATGACGACTTTTATGAATGTATTTTTTGATTTCCTAAATTGAAATTCATTTTCTATTAAACTAAACACAGCATATACTACTATCTTGGTACAAGGAAATAACGTTCAATGTAGATTCACTGATAAACGAATGTAAAAACTGTCGTAACAAACTTGTTCTTCCTTACACATTTTTCAATATAATAATATAAATGGAATATTCGCGATGATCATAAAGAAATTTGTAAACTGGGAACTAAGTGCAATATGGGGTATCTCTCTACATATACGTTGCACTAATGTAAATTACCAAATAATGATTAACAATATGTCTAACTCCTCAAAGCTTTTTACCTATCATAAGGAATAACCTGTTGTTACTATAAAACAGCTACTATGTAATCATAAGTTGTATTCTATCAGACAATGAATCAATTATTTCAACTTTTTACGATATATATATTATTAGGCAAAAGAGGGACAAACAAAAACGAACCAGAAATCTTCGATTCAGGTATCGTTTTCAACTATCACCATCTCTTTCTCTCTGTCTGAATTTAACACATATAAACGATAAATTTCTAATAAAATATTCAAAATAATCGTTAGAAATTTAGAAGTATATACTGCTACGATTACCAATATCAGCAAGCGTCAGCTTTTTATTGTTTTAAAAATGCACAATAACAACATTAGTAGAAAAGTGGGAAAGCAAAAACGAGACAAAAACAATTATTATATATGTATACTGAAAGTGAAAAGAATGTAGACTATTAAACGTGTGTATTTGTGCTTCCGTACGAACGTTATTTCGTCTATTTTCTACAAACCTATAAATGATTATATCACTCAAAAATAGCTGAGTCGAAAAGTTTAAAGGCAACGATGGTGAAATCCCACCATTTATATTGTTTGGTATAAAAATGAAACAGAATGTGAACGATAATAAACACAATACATTTAACCTTAATAAATACAGATATGAGTTCCCTGAAGCATCAGAGAACAAATTATCCCATTTGTTTTTCTCTAAATTAAACAAAAGGAAGGGTGTTTACACTGTAATAGATTTAAATTCTCACACTCTCAGAACCCTCAGTTTCGGTGGTCAAACTGCCTTAATCTTAATGCCTTGTTATGACAATTAATGTCGACTGGTTCTGATAATAAAAATGAGTGGATTTTATGTGATGATTGAGAGATCGGATCACCTTTTTTCTCATGTACTTCACTCTTTTCCTTATATCTTCAAATACAAGTACACGTCATTTTAGGATAAAGCGACTTCATGATCGTACAACGTAAATGCTGAAGGCTGTTTAGTCGGTCATGACTTTTCATTTAAGCTTCAAAAATGCATTACATCTATCTTCGGTTGGGCCGTTGCAACGTAGAACCTTGCATCTGTAAATATCAATTTAGATTGCCACACCCCATCAGCACAGCGAGATGAAATGGTGCAGGGTAGATCTCAGAGTAGTAGAGGTAGTAACGAGATTAGTGATAATAGAAAAGATTACACATTCAAAATACACTTTTACAAAATCTTTTATTTTATTAAAGCAAAAGCGATATACACAAGCGAACGATAAGTACTTACATGATTCGATCGACAACCTTGCCAACCTTGATTAAAATGTGACTGAACTTGACTACCGTCGGGTGCAACATCTAAGGCATTCGTTGCATCGTACTGATTCATGCGCCAACCAGGATTTCGATTAGATACTTGACTATCATCAGCAGATTGAGCAACAGGAATAAATGGACCGTCTGGTGGGAACTCTAACGGTTGTTCTTCACCGAAATTAAATAGGATACGTGAATCTTTTAAACTAGCCGCTAAAATAGTAAAAGAAACATGATCAATTGTGAAAGATGATTCACATAAAAGATGTGGAATACTTTAAAGATTGAAATATAAATTAAATTATTTCAGTCAGTCATTTATACGCAAAGTAGAACCTGAGGTATGAACACTGTTTCAAGTTGCCATAACACATTAGCAAGGTGAGATGAAATCACTTTAAGACAAATCCCATAGTAGGAGTAGTAACAGTGGTAGTAGGAAAGATTAATTAGGGAGAAGTGATTTTGGGAATGTGTAACGGATCGATAGTATTCAGTCAGAACAAAGGAGACTAGATGAACATGAAATTTTAGACTACTCAGCGATGATCAATATTCATATGCATAATATAAGACAGTTTTTTTACTTTACAATATCTTCTGTAAGCTGAACTAATCTAAATATTTTATTTCTCTCAGATAGATAATATTATCTTATAAGCAAAATGGCAAACAAATTGAAATTATGTTAGGGTTTCATTCTTTCGAGATAAACAGGCAAACAAAATCTCAGTACAGATTGTCTCACAAATTATTTATTTTTACTTTTCTCCTAACAGTATAAGCGAAAAAGCATTTAAAAAAGATCACACATTCTCCTTATCAGTAATGAATCAAGCGAAGAACTTGGCGGTGTGGAGGGTGGAGGAAAGAGGAACACAACGGTTGTAGGCAACTTTGCGGAACAACACAATGATTCAATAATTTGCCTTTTTTTCATCGAAAACCATTATTATATTTATTTATTTATTTATTTGAACACATAAATATTGGTACAGAGGGGCACCAAATATATATGCGCCACACAAAACAATGATAATTTGAAGAGAAGGAGAAAAGAGAGAAAAAAAAGTAATGAACGTGGGGAATTATAAAAAAAAAAGGGTGAGAGAGAGAACAATGGTGGGGGAAACGGAAAGGTACAATCAGAAGAAATCTTTCAGTTAAGGAAGATACAAACACTTTTTATGAAGAAAGTAAGAGGTGACAGCACGATCGCCACTGGCTTCTATTCTTAGCCATATCTGATAACGTCTCTAGCCACTGTGTTACACCGTCTCTCGGACCCCAGCCAGGGAGTCGTGATGGAACAACAGAAGCCAGCCCTTTGCAGCTTTCTTTCATACCACGACACCATGTCATACACTGACCACCTCTCCGCTTTTTCCAACCAGTCCCAGAGTCGGCAAATAATGCACGATGAGGAATTCTCTGGGACGACATTCGTAGAACATGTCCAAGCCACCGAAGTCGGTGTTTCAAGATGGTGACACCAATTTCATTATCGTCTCTGTGCCCGAACACTCGATGCCGAACCTCTGCATTACTGACATGGTGTTGCCACTGGATGCCAGCAATCCTTCGGAGACAACGATGATCGAACACAGAGAGTCGTCTAACATCCTCAACTCAGAGAGGCCAGGTTTCACAAGCATAGAGCAAAACTGCTCTCACCGTCGCGTTGTAGATCCGACCTTTTACAGCCAGACTAACATCACGAAGGCGCCAAAGATGGCCCAGATTAGCATAAGCCGCTCTGGCTTTCACTATACGAGCATTGATCTCATCACTCACACCACCACCAGCACTTATGCAGCTACCTAGATACACGAACTTCTCGACTACTTCAATCTGCTCACCATCCCGAGTGCGTACAGGATTAGAATCCTGCCAGTCTTGTAGAAGTACTATGCACTTCGAGGGTGCAAAGAACATACCATACCTACGGACATTGATTGCCAAATGATTAAGTGCGGATTGCATAGCTTGGGCATTATCGCACAGTAAGACAATATCATCCGCATACTCAAGGTCGAGAAGTCTTTCTCCAGGCAACAGATCCACACCACCATTACTTACATCCATCAGAGCTGTTTCCAGAATGTCATCGATGGCAAAGTTGAAGAGGAATGGTGAGATTGGGCAACCCTGCCTAACCCCACTGCTCGAATGGAACAATGGAGAAAGGTGGTTGTATGCCCTCACTCTGCCTGAGGTGTTTGTGTATAGGGCTTTTAGGATGTTAATAAACTTCTCAGGCACACCCTTCTTCAATAGACAATCCCAGAGAACAGTTCTGTCCAACGAATCGAAGGCAGCCCTGATATCAAGTATGGCGGTGTTCTAACACTTGGCGGAGGGTGAAGATATGATCAATACATCCTCGACCAGAACCAAACCCAGCGTGCTCCTCGCGAGTCAATCCTTCTCGGGTTCTGAACAACATACGAAGTATAACGGAAGCCAATAGCTTGGACGCAATCGGAAGTAGACTTATCCCCCGATAGTTGTTACAGGAACAACGTGAACCCTTTTTAAAGATAGGGACAACTATCGACTCATTCCATGACGTTGGTACACTCTCTAGTTCCCAGATCTTTGTAAACAACGTCGTCAGTCCCTTAGTCAAAAAGTCACCAACATCTTTAAAAAGAGCCGGAGGTAAGTCATCTGGGCCCGGTGATTCGTAGCGTTTCAAGAGTTGGAGTTCCTTGCGGACTTCCGCCTCATTTGGTGGATCAGTCGTCACCGGCCATGGAGGGCAGGACAGTCTGACCGATGTTGCCGGAACAGCAGGCCAGTTGAACTGCCCTTCAAAGAATTCTGCCCATCGTCCAAGACGGCGATGGATGTTAGTGATTGGCGTTCCGTCATCCTCGCAGATTGTTTCGCTCACACCAAACTTCTTGCTGCCAGTGGCTCGGATGAGTTGGAAGAGCTTCCGGTAATTACCAGATGCAGCTGCTGCTTCCAGCTCACTGGCACGCTCCGACCACCAGGCTTCTCGGTCCTTACGCAAGCTTTGCCCGATTTCATTACGTAACATCCTTCGTCTGTGGTCAAACTCACGGTCACCCGGAGTAGACCGACGGGCTTCAATCAGTTGTAAGGAACCAGAAGAAACCCAGTGCTTGTAAGCGGGACGTTTCGCAAACCCACAACTGACTTGACCCGCCATTTTCATGGCGTCATGAAGTTGCAACCAATGCTCATCTATACTTTTCGGTGGAATGGTAGCTAGCCTAGAAGCTAGCTCGTTTCGGTACTTACTAGCAACAGAAGTTGCAGCCAGCTTGCTAACATCAATCCTTTGGTGGCGGTCACTTCGTTGTCCACTGAAAAGTAAGGTAAGATTGGCGCAGACCAGAGCATGATCAGATTCCAGATAGGTACTCCAAAAGGAGCGGCAGTCTTGTACACAACCGCGCCAGCGGTAGCCGATCGCGATGTGATCAATCTGAGTCCAGGCTTGAGATGCAGAAGGGGGACGCCAGGTGGCACATCGGCGATGACTGTGCCGAAAGTTAGTGCTAGCCAGAAACAGATTGTGGTCTGTGCATAGTTGCAGCAGACGTCCCCCGTTATCTGTCCTGCGACCAACGAGTCCCCATCGGCCACCTAAACGACTCTCTTCTGTGCCTAGACGCCCGACCTGAGCATTCAAGTCTCCAGCTAGTACTACAATATCTGTCGAACGCGCTTTCTGGAGAAGAACAGTTAGCTGATGGTAGAACTCGTCCTTGATTGCATCCGGGCTGCAATCTGTCGGGGCATAGGCGGAGATGACGAAAAGACATCGTTTCTCACGCCGATTTCTTCTCACTTTGATGGAACTTTCTAATCTAACAGCACATAACCGACTGTTAATGGGGATCCAGTCGACTAGTGCTGTCTCAGCTCTTGCGCTTAGTGCGACACCAACGCCAGCAAGACCAGACGAAGATGCCACAGGGTCCCCGGATAAACGCACATAAAACAAGCTTTTTGAAGTGACAGATGGAGAGCGAACTTGTAGTACTTCACCAGAGTCTTGAATACGGGTCTCGGATAGACAACACACATCAATATTAAGACTTTCCAAAGACATAGCCAGTCCTATCTGTTGTCCGACCTGCATAAGTGTGCGAACGTTGAAGGCAGCCAGTTTGAATGGTGCACGTGGTTTCAGAAAAACTGCTTCAGTACTCATATTCGGTAGTAACATACAATTTTCAACCAGGCAGTGACTCGAGAACGTTTAGATAAAGCTGAATTTTCACCATAGGCGAGCTGCTGTCTGAGTCGAAACGGATACAAAAAGTAGAAATAGCAGATAGTGAATAAATGACGTAGTAAATAATAATAATAATAATAATAATAATAATAATAATAATAATAGTACGAGTTATTTCAGTGTTAATCAGATAGAAAGGAATATTTTCCATAAGCAAATTGTTCATCATAGTTTTAGTGAGTGGGCTGAGATACTGCCCGGGTGCCCAGACCGAAGCAGGTTGTTTTGCTTAGGGGGCCACACCCCGAGCCTTTGACCTAAAGGTCTAGTCCACAAGGCAGTGGAGCATCGTGAGGAGATGCAGTCCCATGGAAGCCGGTGACCAAAAGTTGGTTCATACGCCATTTGTTCCTTCAGGATACTGGAGCCCATGTGCACCATTGGTTTGGGGTCCGGTTATAGCGCCGGACATTCGCTTTTCGTCCTCTCATTTTCGTAAACAACACCCCCGCCACGAGAAGTCAGTGAGTAGGAATTCCCTGGCAGAGGCTATATACGCGTGGCCGTGTGATAGTATTTCGAGAGGGAGGGCGAACCCTCCCCGCTCTCGGCCATACCAGGGCATTTGGGGGCCCATTGACCATTGACCAACAAAAGTAGTAAAACGAAATCAAAAAGTTATCTATCTACAAACATTTTCTGTGAAAAGAATCAGATTACTATAGGAAAATGTGATATACACTATTTTCTGTACATGAACCTAACTTTTTATATGTACTTAATATGTTTTTTTAATGTAACCAACTCGTTTACACAAAAGTAGAGGTGGCCCTTATTTGACAACATGGGTCGGTCCAACAACAGTCAATGACTTCATAGACCATATTTATGTTATGATATATCCATAACTAGCTTTCTTTCAGTATACTACTCTTTGATCAGTAAGTACCATGTGTGGTTGTTGTACACGTTTTACAAAATACCAACACCCCAGTAACGCTGAATTCATATTTTAACATGGAAAAAAGCCACTGACTTCATCTAAAGGGAAGAATATACATCGTTTCATTACTTTTAATTTTCCTATCTGATATGACGTAGTAACTAGAAAAGAAAAAAATAACTCATTTTAATCTTTCGATGAAAAAACTACCAGATTTAATATAAAGTGTAGAAATATATGAGAAAGAATGATAACAAAAGACAAGATTTATTGAAAAGAACGAATATGATTGAAGAATTAAAAATCCGGAACGATATCACACTAAAGAGTTTGGTGAAAAAGGAGGGTGAAATCAAATATATCATATCATAATCGCATGTATACAATATCTTCTTCCATGAACATACGTTCATTCAATGATCTCGATAATAATAAATAAACAGCATTGCTGGAACATGAAATATGATATTCGAAATAGTAACTTAATAGTTTCACTTACCTGGTAAGAAAGCTTCTCCTCTTAATTGGTCAGGTATAGTGAATGCACGTTGAAATATTTTTCCATTACATGACCAAGAAATTGATCCTTTGTCTAAATCTAACAGGCAACCAATTACATCACCCTGATGAACCATTACTCCATAATCATGACCAGTATTCCGATGCATTACACGTCCAGTGCCATTCATACCAGCAGAACCTACAGCATCGGATCCATATCCGAAACCATAATTATCTGCACCAAGTTCTAAATTGGCATCATTAGTTGACCAACCAACACGTATAAGTCCTTCCTCTAAACAAGCCGCTTCGTAGTAGTATGCACCTGGAGCTTTTACACCTTTATTAGCTCTACAACCCTGAATGAAAGAAAAAAAGACAGAAATATAAGAATAGACAGTGTGTAAACAATTCATTGACAAGATGATTCTTCGTGAAAGAGTAGATGATAAGTGTCAAAAATGAAAAGAATATACAATACAGACTAGTGCATATACAAGTAGCTTACTAAAAATTATAAAAAAAAACAATACACTTCACCTGATGATAGGATATATTATTATTGAAATCAAAGTTTTTTATAACGATCGTCGCCTATGAAAACACACATAGGATTATTATTGATGATTATGGAATATGCATTTTTTTCTCGTGGAATTCAATTTAAGCGTGTCGCAACAATTTGCACAGTATGTTGTACCTAATATCTTAGTGTACAAAAGAAAACACCATTTAATTGATAAATGAGAGGAGTGATGACTCAGCTACCATTTAGAGAAAATAAAAGATAAAGAAGTGTAGAAGGATAAGATCATTAAAACACATAAAACAAGTAAAATAATTTTTCAACGTAAAAAGAAGTCTGGGGACACATAAGCTTGAACGCACATGGTTCCAAAAAAGGAGAGAATGAAACGCTAGGTTGAACCATACATTAAAATTTGATTATTGACTGACCTCAACCATATTAGTCTACAGGAATACTGTTATAGCATAGTTAGTTACTAAATGACGCGCAATTAACTACAAGTATTTCAAGTACCATTCATGAACTGAAATTAAAACATCCCAATATGTAATATAGGAAAAAGTCAATACAAATCTAAATATTATGATAAACTTATTCGATTGCTAGTATCTGTTATGTGTCTCAATCTTTGTGTGAATTTAGTAGTGTTAGGATAAACTGACATAGGTGGAAGTTGGAAAACCATTATGCAGTATATCTTCTTATGTTGCCCTAACTGTAGAATTTTATTTAACTTATAAACCATTTATGAGTCACATCACATACAAAAAGTTGCGATTCATGATGTACTGGTCAGCTAGTTTCGTACAGCAGGTGACCCAGTTATATCAAGACTGAACTGTCTTAGTCACAGTGCAGTATTGTCTTCTATTTGGTGCATATGATCATGTGAGTTGTTGATTCGTACATAGTACAAGGTGAATATGTTATACTTGTGTTTTGATTGAACAGGTTAGGGACAGAAGAACTCGGATGGGGCTATCAATGTTATCATATACTGAAACTACGCTATGGAAATAACTGGTATGTTGGTATAAACGGACGTAACATTAATGGTTCTTGTAGCAAGAAGATTAAGTGTAGTTTTATCTACCAAAGTGATGATCGACCAAGTCTTGGATCAATGAATAACCATAAATTTCGTCAAGATTATAGGTGTACTGCTAACGGGAGTTATACTTTACCCAAATAGTATAGTTCTAACTAATCATATTTCCTAATTTCTAATGGTGAAATCAACTTGAAACGCTTGAAATAGCTAGGCAATAAGTCGAAATTGAGCATGTATAGTATATGTCGATAGGAAACACTGAATAAGCCAATAACAAGCAAAATTCACCGGATTGCCAAAAGGTGAATTACACAAGTAGTAAGTCAATAATTTAAATTTGGTGAACACAACTCCCCACTCTAAAGAACCACAAGATAACACAACCAAACATGAAGTTTCATTAATAAAATTTGTGAAAGGGAGAGTGGGAAACAAGAAAAAAAACATGAAATTCATAGACATGCTTGATACAGTTTTGTACTTACTTGCCATCCAGCTCCACGTGTAGATGCAACATCTAAGCCCCGAGCATCTATTCCTAAGCCTGCTGTACAATCAGCTCCAGTTATACGCCAATGTTCAGGTTCGAATGATATCCTAGTAATCATTGTGGGCATATTATTGATATGATTAATATTACTATTAAGATGATGACCATTCATTAAGCCGGTAACATCATTACTACTTGGTTGGTAATAGCGTTGAACACCTTGAGCATTTGGTATGGGCAGTCCATTGATTACATTTTGATTACAGAAATAAGTGGGATCCATACAGGCTGGATCACCACTTACCATAGCTGGTTGATACTGATATTGACTGGCGACTGCACCATTCATATGATCCACTAAAGGTTAATAAACAGACAAATAAAATGGTTGTGATTGACAACTATCGTTATTATCATTTGCTGGTGAGCGGCCTATGCTCCTTCACGAGGAGTAACAAGCGCAAGTAAGTAAGTTATTATCATTGACTCAACGTCGTCATCGTCTATTTCTGACTAAAACTATACTCAGATATCTTAAATCCAGCAAACATATCTGTTGAATATAGCAGAGAGAGAGAGAGAAGACATATTTAGCATTTGTTATTAATGTTGGGAAATCAAAAAAATAGATTGTCTAGAGCTAATCAACCAGTAAACTAACATAAGAATCGAATGCTTACCTTAAGTTTATCAAAACTCTTGGTGGATAAAAAAAAGCCCAATAGTTTGATATTCACTTATTTAATAATCTACAGTAACAGGCATATTTTTACATATGGAGCAGTATGAAAGAAAAAATGGATTATAACAATAATTACGGTTTATTTGAAATCTCCTGGAGATTAATATAATTTATAGACTATATTAGTTACACACCGATTTCTAATATAAAAAGTGTGACCGGTGGTATTTAATAAGTATGTCGAGAAAGAAAAATTTCCCCCCGATTATTTATTTATTGAAATACATAAACATCGGTACACGGAGGCACCGAAAAGAGACGAGTCCGCATAGTCACTAAAGGATGATTTTATTTGCCAGTAATGATTTAGTTCAGTTACACCTCCTAAATGTTGTTTAGCAACCAACCCATCACTAAGCTATCGGCTTTCAATCTCACAATCATAACAATTTTATTTCAAGGTAGCTGAATGACTACAACTACTAGTAGTACTGATAAACTTCAAAGTCATATAAACTAAATCAAATTTTTCTGCCGGGAGATCCGTTTTGATTTATCTATTCTTTCGTAGGGAAGAATTTATAATTTCTCAAAAATAATACGCAAGTACGTCAATGGGACAGAAATAGAAAATTGACAAAAACAGATAGAATAAAAAAAAGAGGACATTAACAATAACAAAATAGTTAGAATGAATATATTGAAGAGAGGGAGCGAATTCTCAATGTAACGAAATTCATTTATTATAAAAATTATACTCGATTACATTAAAAATACCATATACATAATATCATCCATTATTTAGTCGAATAAGTTGTAATAATAGAAGAAATGGCAGCACTGATGGGAAGGAGAACGACATATATTCAACTTTTCCGCTACAGAATATGAAATAAATTCGTTTATCTAATAATTAAGAGTAGGTTTCCTTTCAATGAAAATGATTTCATTTAATATTATATGGTATGATACAATATGGGATTTTTAGCATATGGTAAAAGAAGTATGGATAGTGTCCATTCGCTTGTTAACTACAGGGTAAAGAAACAGACCTGAGTATCTCGTGTTTACATTAAGGTAGCGAAAAGTGTTTTTTAATTTCACTTCAAACCTTTTGAACAATGTAAACCGATTATTATTTCTACTGTTCAATATAAATGGTGTTCGGATTTCAAGCGAGAACATAAAAACCTCAATTTATATTAAATTGGTTTGTACCTAAACGATACTTTTACCGTTTAATATTATCAGTATATTTAGTTTTCTTTTTAAAACAATTATTTTAATCTAAAAAGTTACCAGCTATACGGCCAGAGATCTCTTTTAATTCTTAAATTTTGAAAAAGTGCTGTGAATTCAAGCAGCGAGATTATGACGATAGATTGTCGATGATTAAATTAAAGGAAAATTAAATCCAGTAAATTTTTATTGCGGTGGAACAATAATGAATTCAAAAAAACGTATTTAAGAGAACTTAAATGGTCAATCAAATAATGTGAACATAGAACTGATTGTTAAATATGAATAAAATTGTAGAAAACAACAACTGACTAGGTGATTGATAAAATATTAAGGAAATTATTATTTACATGAAAACGGTTTATTCAAGATATATTTGCATGAAAATAACAATCGGCGAAACATAGTGGACAACGATGAAATTTAAATAATAACAAAGCAAGCACCATTTATGATTCTGTTCATTATCACAACAAAATGAATATGTTAGCGTATTCGTAACACTAAATGCGAATCGTGAATAATGTAGAGTGAGTATTACGTAATATCAACTGATTAGATTACAGTAATCAAATAAGTATTTCAAAAGATATGGTATAAATTTTTCTAGATTAATACTTGACTAAGAGATTTAATGTAAACAAATCATTTGTCAGGTAAGTTGGAATTCGATAGTAGTAGAAGTCTTAGTAGGTTAAGATCTCAACCAGTAAGTCGCTGGTTAAAATTTCCACTGAGTTAGGCAAGCTGGCTTTTATCAACAGACCTCATATATCAAAAATTATTACTCAAAGCTGAGTACATGGACCTGTTGTACATGGTAAACGAAACTACATTACGTTAACCAGGAATGTAAGTCAGGTGGAGGAAAAAAAAGTGAAAAGACAAACAGGAAACAAACTAACAGCTTTATATTATTTTTAACTCATTACAGATTAGTTTACTTTGCCTCGAGACACGTCCCAAGTTTGAGGGCTAGCAATAATACTCAAAAGAAGTGGTGAGGATTGGAAACTATAACTAGAGCTGAAAGTCGAAGATCTTAATCAATGAGCCACTAATCGAGCGTCCGTGTTTTGAACTAGGTGGGGACAGTCATGTCATGCATGATTATCTCTAAAGAAAATTACTTGCAGTGGGATTCGTAATCCGTTATAATTACAAACTGTAAAAATTGTGCTTTACAATTAAATTAATAACAATAAATACCATTATCAAAGGGTTAATAAGACATGATTCAGAAGAAAAACATGCGGTGGTATGAGTGGTCGAATATTATAATAAGCACTACAGTTATATAGATATAGATTAAGTGTATATTTCAAAATGAAAATCAGCATTGACCAATAAGTGAGTAAGCTGTGTTGTATGTTAAATTATAGTGTAGGCAAGGTAACTTTCATTTACATCAGTCAATAACGCACAATGATGAAATAAATATTTAAGGACATTATTATGACCTTAATTATAAGCACAAACATATCTCTCCCCCGCAATTAAGTGACGGTGTCGATATAGAATACCTAATGGAATGGAAATCAGAACTTTTAATTGTTAGATAATGCGAATCATAATGGATAAAAAGTGTGACAGATTAACATGATATATCTGAAGTTCTCTTATTGACTACTTTATGTTCTACCTAACAAAATGCATACCTTTACCTCTACACCATTGCAAATAACTAGGTTTTATCAGCCAATTTTGCTGTTTGTTCTGTCGCGTTTTTCTTCCTTTTTCAGCGTCACGATTGTGAGACGCAAAAATGATGTATGTTCGCTGCCACAGAATCAAAGCCAACTTGAAATCACTGCTTTTTGTATTTCGGCGACCTTGGATGGGTTGCCTCAAAGAAGTCATTACGTGTTAGATGTGCCTCAGGTCTGTGGCGTGTTTGTAGGCTAGCTTAACTTAGTAGCACGTGTGCCTTTAAGAGACCTGTATATTTCGGAAAACGCCGAACGATATATATTTATGTGCATTGTAAGTTTTTGTCTGCATTTCAGAATAAGAAAACTTTTGTGTTGCACTTCTTGATTGTCTATCTATGGCTAGCAGTAGGTTAGTTTATGTATTTAATTCTTTCGTGACTCAGTCTTTTGTCAATTTATTCAGAGGTACAACTGCGCTAAATGCGCCTGAGAGCATTTCAACATACCTAGCTGATAGTTAGCCCTTAAATGCCCTGTTATGGGCGAGAGTGGGGAGGGCCCAACCTCCCTCTCGAAATGCTCTCACAAGGCCACGCGTATATAGTCTCTGCCAGGGAAGTCCTACTCACTGCCTTCTCGTGGCAGAGGTGTTGTTTACGAAATTGAGAGGACGAAAAGCGAATGTCCGGCGTTTTAACCAGGCCGGTGGACACGGTGAGTCCACTTAGGGGAGTTGGAAAACCCTGATTTCAAACCAATGGCGCACATAGGCTCCAGTATCCTGAAAGAAGAAATGCAGTGTGAACCAATTGTTGGTCACCGGCTATCATGAGACTGCATCTCCTTACGATGCCCCACTACCATGTGTGTCAGACCTCTAGGTCAAAGGGTCGGGGTGTGGCCCCCTAAGAAAACCACCTGCTTCTGTCTGGGCACCCAGACAGTATCACAGCCCACGCAAAAATAGAATGAAATGATGATATCTACTGAAAATACTATTCATGCTTCAATTAGCAGTCAAACGATTAACATTATTATTATTTTCTACCACGTCATTTATTTACTCTCTTTTATTCCAACTTTGTGTATCCTCATGTTTCAATTTACAGCAGCTCACCTATGGTGGAAAGTCTGTTCTATCTAAACGATCTCGAGTCACTGACTGGTCGAAAAGTTGAATGCTACCACCGTATACGACTGCTGAAACAATTTTTCTCAAACCACGTACACCATTCAAACTGGCTGCCTTCAACGTTCGCACACTTATGCAGGTCGGACAACAGATAGGGCTAGCTATGTCTTTAGGAAGTCTTAATATCGACGTTTGTTGTCTACCCTAGAAATGTATTAAAAACTTTGGTGAAGTACTACGAATTCGCTCTCCATTTGTCGCTTCAAAAGGCTTGTTTTACGTGCATTTACCCGACGACCATGTGACATCTTCGTCTGGTCTTGCTGGCGTTGGTGTCGCACTAAGCGCTAGAGCTGAGCTGTATCCCCATTAACAGTCGGTTATGTGTTGTTAAATTAGAAGTCAGCGTGAGAAACGACAGATTGCAGCTTGGATGCAATCAAGGATGAATTCTACCACCAGTTAAATATTATTCTCCTGAAATTACGTTCGACAGATATTACAACTGTGAGCAGCCCAACACCTGTTTCTGGCTAGCACGAACATCCGCACAATCAACGTCAATGTGTCACCTGGCGTCCTCCCCCCATACATCCCAAGCCTGGATTCACATTGATCTCATCATGGTCAGCTACCGCTGGCGCGGTTGTGTACAAGAGTGCCACTCCTTTTGGAGTACCTATCTGGACTCTGGTCATGACCTGGTCTGCGCCGATCTTACCTTACTTTTCAGTGGCCAATGAAGTGACCGCCATCAAAGCACTGAATTCAGCAAGTTGGTTGCAACTTCTGTTGCTCGTAAGTATCGAACCGAGCTAGGTTCTAGGCTAGCTACCATCCCACCGAAAAGTATAGATGAGCATTGGTTGAAATTGCATGACGCCATGAAAATGGCGGGTCAAGTTAGTTGTGGGTTTCCGAAACGTCCCGGCATCTTCGGTACACAAAGAAACCGCCTAATAACCCCGTAGAACTGGGAAGACTCGAAATTAAATCAGCAATAACCATCAAGCCAATATTAAAAACATCGAAACAATACAAAAAGGCTTTTCCAACAACAAAGGCGAGTAGCTGAAGCTTTCCATATATTGCTTAGTCCCACTGCCCTCAACGGAAAGGAAGGCTTTACTACCATGTCTGACTTTTCTCACATCTCACACCATTATCGAAAATACAAACCTAACTCAATCCTTTCTCATTACAAATGTCACATCTATGTGATATATCAGCGCAATACATTTCGAACAATCTGATCACACATATACTTGTTAAGAGCATTTATATATATGTACTGTTTATTAAATAAATTCAACACTTTCCAAAATCATATCAGTCTCTCATGTGAAGAGGAGAAGAACGATCAGCTCCCCTTTCTAGAAACTGTAAGAGCTTATGTAATGTAAATTATTATGCTTTTAATTACGTATTTTCTGAATGTCTGGTTTAAAGTTAAATAAAATAAAACCCTCGAAGATAACACCAAACCTCAACCGTTGACATGATTCATACAGAATGCGCGTACAGAAATGCTGCTTTCACCGTGAAGTACATTTTTATTTGACTTACGTTGGGTGTCCCGATCCACCGTCTACGTCGACGTGTGATGACGGCCAATGTTGGAGTGAATTGAAAAGAAGCTATGGGGGGGGGCCAAACCAATACATGATATCGATCCACAAAGATGGTGATTACTGGACTTGAGTCAAATATAAACTTCCTCTTCTGGTTTCCTCCTCAAATTTCACCATAGCCAACGATTCTAGTGCGCAAAACACTGTCCCAGGTCTACTGAAACCTCGCTCATAACTACACATTGGAGCCTTCAACGTACGCACCCTATGTCAAATCGGTTAGCAGGCTTCCTTGGCTAAAACCCTAGAATCTCGTATCATTGATGTATGCTGTGTCTCCGAAACACGCATACAGGATCTTAGCGTGGTCATTCACTTGATCTCACCTCGGCAAAATGGAGAGCCAACGAGATACACCCTCCGTGTATCTGGCGACCCGACGGCTAGTTCTCCTGGACTGGAAGGTGTAGGTATAGCACTAAGCATGAGGGCTGAACAAGCGCTATTAGAGTGGATCTCCGCTAACAGTCGTATAAGCGCTGTTAAGCTAAACGACACCGTAAGAACTCGGAAGGATAGGGACACACGTGGATTAACCAACATAGCATCTAAAATACCAGCCTCAATAATTATCGGACGCCTATCTAAGACTCGTGAACTGCAAACACGAGAGAATCAAGCTGGCTCCAGACCTGGTCGTGGCTGCATCAACCACATATTCACCATTCGTCAGCTCCTAGAACACAGGCATACTTATCGGCGTCCGACAATGGTGGTCTTCCTTGATTTAAAAGCAGCATTTGACTATGTAGACCGAGAGATCTGACTTCCAATTTGTTCGAGTGGTGATAAAGAAATATTCATCCCGGCTACTCTCGTATCCAGTTATCTACTTATTTCGAGTTAGTAGATAACGGAATAAAATAAGTCAAATAAAAGAATAAATTCCGGATACGTATATTTGATGCACTCGATTGAAAGAAGTGAACCACAAATTGAAACAGAAACATTTCATGATGAAAATGGTAAAATGATCAAACGTACTGTTAAACGTTCTGAAGTGACTACTACAAAAACAGTTAGTGAACGTATTATTGCAAATACTGCGGGTCAAATTGTTCATGTAAGTTCTTATTTGTCTTTAGATGTTTTTAATGTGTCAATAAACATTGTAATCGTGTGAAGAACTTATTAAACAGTTGATCAGTGACAATTTTTATTCTCGTTTTTTTAATCATGCAAAAGCTGTTTATATTAATCACAATGTATGTAATATCCATTGTTATTTGTTAGAGGATTTATGTTTCAGTAGTCTGTTGATCTGACTTCCAATTTGTTCGAGTGGTGATAAAGAAATATTCATCCCGGCTACTCTCGTATCCAGTTATCTACTTATTTCGAGTTAGTAGATAACGGAATAAAATAAGTCAAATAAAAGAATAAATTCCGGATACGTATATTTGATGCACTCGTTGCCCTGTCATACAGACATTCAAACGAAGCAGAGAAGCACACCGTAGAAGGCAAATGACCCAACTCCTTCCGATCAAGCGTGACTCCATATTTATAATAATTTTAATAGTTCAGATCATGAGTCAATTGAAGCTAGATCACCGTAGAAAACCTGGAAGCACTGGACGGCCGTTTCATCCTGTTTTGGGGCTCCTCAGCAGTGAATCATGATCTCAATTATTAAGATTACTATAATATCCACAAAAAACCCCTTGTGATATCAATAATTGTAGCCAGACAAAAATAATCTAATGACGTGTCTGTCATTGGAAGGCGTACCTCAGAAGTACATAAACCTTGTGAAGGCTCTTTACTCGGACACTACTAGTCGAGTCAGAGCTTATGGCGAACTGTCATCTGCTTTTGCAACCTCAAGTGTTGTCCGTCAAGGCTGTCCACTTTCTCCATTTTTGTTCAACTTCATCATAGATCTACTGGTGGAAATAACGCTCTCATCGACTGAATATTCGGGCATCGATCTCCTACCAGGAGGTCCACTTATCGACTTAGAATACGCAGATGACATAGTCCTGTTTGGTGAAGACGCTGATAAAATGCAGAGTCTTTTGGTAGTACTGAGCAACAATGCCAGAATGTTTGGGATGTGCTTCTCTCCCTCTAAATGCAAGTTGTTGCTTCAGGACTGGTCTGCGTCAACACCTGAACTAAGGATAGGGAGTGAAGTAATCGAACGCGTCGACAAATTCACTTATCTTGGAAGTCTGATCAGCCCTAATGGGTTGGTGTCTGACAAAATCTCAGCACGTATTCGAAAAGCTCGTTTGGCCTTTGCCAACTTACGTCATCTATGGCGAAGGCGAGATATTCCGTCTATCAATTAAGGGACGAGTATACTGTGCGGCAGTTCGTTCCGTTCTGCTATACGGCTGCGAAACTTGGCCTTTAAGAGTAGAAGATATACGTAAGTTACTAGTATTTGACCACAGATGCCTTAGAAATATTGCTCGCATCTGCTGGGATCACCGGGTAAGTAATAGTGAGGTTAGACGCAGGGTATTAGGAAATGATGGTAAATCAGTTGATGAGGTTATGAATCTTCATCGACTGAGATGGTTGGGCCACGTGTTACGTATGCCTGAACACCGATTACCACGACGCGCAATACTCACTGGTGTTAGGGATAATTGGAAGAAAGTTAAAGGTGACCAAACCAAAACGTGGCATCAGTGCTTGAAGTCACTAACTTCTGGTTTGAGCCATGTTGGTAGATGCAGACTGCCTGGTTGGGGTCCGCGTGACTATCGTAACCAATGGTTGGAGACTCTTGGTGACATGGCTCAGAATCGATCACAATGGCGTCGGTGCATACACTCTCTGTCTTCCTTTAAACTAAGGGATTAAAATCGCTTCATATCTTTCTTTCTACAAACTAATTCTTTCTTCCTGTACTATTTCCTTATATGCAATCTTTCTTCTATATATTACCATGAACTGAATTAACTACTTCTATGAATCCGGTGTTCATCTTGTTGTGCTAATGCGGTATGGCAACTTGAACCGATGCATATATGTGCCTGGTCCTACGTTGTAGCTGATTGACTGACTGAGAACTAATTGTAAGCAGTTGGATAAACTTTGATACGTTATTGTTATCATCAAATATAACTAAACGGCAATTGCACAACTATACAGTAACACAGTCCGTTTCGATTTACCGAAGAAAAATTTAAATATAATACGGTAAATCGAAACGGTTTGTGTTACTGTATAGTTGTGGAATTGACGTTTAGTTATATTTGATGATAACAATAACGTATCAAAGTTTATCCAATCGCTTACAATTAGTTCTCAGTCAGTCAATCAGCCGCAACGTAGGACCAGGCACATATATGCATCGGTCCAAATTGCCATACCGCATTAGCACAACAAGATGAACACCGGATTCATATATATATATATATATATATATATATATATATATATATATATATATATATATATATATATATATATATATATGGGAAAATGACACAGATATGACTTACTTTCACCGCGGTAAGCAAATGTAAACCATCCTATGTGGGAAAAACAATAATGGATTATTGGAAGTGTGGTATAGCCACAATAATGAATTAATAATAATAATAATAATAATAATAATAATAATAATAATAATGTAATGCATATTCTGAAAATATTAATTTCTGGATTCATGACAGCTTACAGGTATGATCAGCTTGATATAGATAATAATATTAAATGTAGAGAACAGACATGTGAATAAGACTGAAGACTGCAAGAAGAGTTATATAAAGCCTTACTAATCATGATACAAACATCATAACCGTAGAGAAAGTTTAACGGTTACCGGAACTCAGTAGATCGGAGGATAAAAAGGTTGTTTTTAAATGGAAGGTACTAACTAGATTCGCGTCTCAGTATCGAACATTAATACAGAAGTGTGACAAGTATGTCCAGCTGTGTCGCGAATAGGATGAAATACGTACCAACTTCTAGTCATAAACCATCTATTCTAAATAATGAATTGTAAGGTTCATAATTTACCGAAAACTGTTTTGATCATAAAATTTTCGATGTAATCATATCAAAGCTGTAAAATACATATAAAAAATAGGTATTCACTTGTTTAATTTTGTGAATTGTCTTTTAGTGGACAAATTAAGTTATGACATAAAACTAAGTATAAAGTACTTTGGATGGATTGATATTAAAACATTTATTGCAATGAGACGAGCACATGGGAAATATATCAGTTGGACTGACAAGCTTTAGATATTTCGATGTATGTGTTGAGATTTTCGCAAATCGTAGTCCATCGTCGTTCGCTATTTCGGGTCATAAATCAATCTAACACCGAGTTAGGTAATGAATTTAAACTAAGATGTAATATAATAACAATAATTGCATTTATGACTACAATATTATGCATAATAACTCTTACACTCATCACTGAAACCGATAGTATATACAGATCACCACAAACATCCAAACAAAAATGTCAGAAAGCTTAATTGATAGATTATCACAATCACGTATTTGTTGCTGATCAAGTTTATATTGAAAAAAAACATACAGGATTTATGGTTAGTGCGTTGTATTGTCTCGTATTATGTTTATGTTTAACAAACAAAAGATTTAGAGGTTTGAGCAAGTGTTTTAACATGATAAATACGAAGAGAATTGAACCTTTGGAAGTACCCTGTCAGAAGTTATTGTCTACATTTTTGCAGTATAATTGTTGAGTGCGCAAATTATTTTATTCAACTGTTTGTAAGCTTTTGCATGATGCATAGACCGTTATCGTATATTATATCTTTCTTAAGTTACTGTTAATTTATTAAGGACATAATACTCAGTTTACTTTCATATATGGGGTAGTTATGACCATTTTGTAATTTTGTAATTATGTTGGTATGTGGCAAGGATTCTACTTCATATTGTGATGTGAACGATTTATAAATTTGAACTGTATAACGGGTTGTTTAGTTGCTCTGTTATTTTATTCAGGCGATCAGACGCGGAAAGACCGTATTTTTTACCAACAGTTGTTAAGAATTGTTCTCAGTTGTTTTATCACTATCATATTATGATTGTGAAGCAGGTCATCGGTACTAGATAGATAATACAGGAAAAATTAATCAGTATTCGTACTAGATTAATACAATTGCTTTCGTGTATTACGGTACGATTACACAGGCAGAATAAACAATTCAAGAAATCTGTTATAATTTCAATACATGAAGGAGACATTTATCACCTCTGATTATTCACATAACTTTATCGGATGTTTTATGGTTAGACGCTTAGTCGAGATGAAAAAAGAAAATTGAGCCAAATCTTTAAAATTTAGGTGTACTTTTTTATCATGAGAATATGACATTGAGAAAAGAGTAACTAACCTTCCGTTTAGTCAAAACAGTATTATGTTTAACCATCATATCACAACTTAAAACAGAGTGCACAAACCGATACTTGATGAGTTAATACTGAGCACAGTGGAATAATAAATAAAAACAAATGAAACTTATCTATTATTCTTACCAGTCTCTGAAGGATGGGCAGGCATTGGACGAAATTTAGATAAAGGACGAGATGTCTGGTTATGTCCACCGACACCGACAGTAGCGTCAACCGACGATGAATTCACAGTTGTGCCAGGATAATGATATTTACGAGTAGCGAACGAAGGGAATAAACTTGGTTTTTTCGGTCTAGACGACCCACGAAGTCTACGTAAACATACGTAAATCATAATAATCGTAATGACAATCATAAAAATAAAAAGGAAGATTAGGTTGAAGAATAGGATACAACAGTACTGCGATGTACCAGTTGATTTTCTTATCCTTAACTCAAATAAAAAGATTCCGAATTGTCGAAAAACAAATGTTGAATATATATCTGGAGAAAAAGTCAATGGCTTTATTCTGGTTTACGTAAAAAACTTATACAAAGTCAGTTTTCGTTTTGTAAGTAATTCAATAGACACATTTTTCCAACTGAAAAACACGGAGAAATTTGACATACGGCATGATAAACTTCAAATATAATCTCGGGTTAGTGTTTTTTTTTCTCTTCAGAAAGCTAAATAGGTTGATCAATGTACGGTGTCTAGCTTATAATGGAATAGATAAAATGTCTGAAAACATTGTGAACATATAAACTATATTTCGATTGGCTGACAGTGTAATTAGATTAGCACTTCAAATTAACCTGACCGTTGTTGCTACCTTGACGTGATGGTCGGGCTTGCCTATCGTGATGAAGCAACTGAGCTATACTGGCTGGAACAACCGTTCCTCAAGGTCCTACCATGCCAGACAGGTCGGTTGAAAAGCGGTAAGACTAAAAGCAACAAAACCAAGGTCCGAAGGCAAAGTCGTACTGCTGACTGTACAGAGGTGTGACAGCAGTAAGGTGTTTCCTTCAGACAACCAGCATAACAGCGATGCTGCCTTCCCACAAGGGGAGGTGGGACTAGAAAAGGTCGACCCTAAAAATGCACACCTCGCCTTATCCCACGGATATCCGTCTCCGGCGGTAAGGTCTTAACAAGTACGGAACTAACACAAAAACTACTCATAAAAAGGTCGTGTGTGACCGATCTCAAGCAACTGTCCCTTGAGCACTGCGGTCACGCTCTCAGGTCACTATGACCACCTCTAATCCAATTTCCTTTTCAGGTACCTCCAGAAGAACCCTTCCACGGTGTGGGCAACCGGGAAGTGATAACCGCCCTCATACCTCTAACAGCACTACGTTTTGTATGGCTGACCATTCAATATTATGTTTTTTACTGAAGAATAATATACATAGAGACGAGACTTGTTACAAAATAGTTGACCTAATGGTTCCTACTTTTCAATTGTTATTCAAATGACATTAGATCAGCTTATGATAAAAATATCTCGTCAATGAGAAAGTCTCCACAAAACCACTACATAATATTTAATAATGATAATCGAAACTTCGGCTTTATTAGTGACAAGATTTGAGATGGGCTTTGTCAAGATCTGGTACAATATCATAACCCACCACCCTCTCAAGTCAATTAGGTCGAAAAAAGGAATGGAAATCACTCTATGTATCATGATTTGATTAAGTAGAAAGCCGAAAACTGATGCAACTTAATTACTGTTAACAGATTCATGTACTTGATTATGAACCCAAATTTGTGTGACGATTTGTGATACCACTCGGTTTCTCGAACCAAAGTAAGTGGTCAGTCAGTCAGTAACAACGTGGAACTTCGTACGCACGTACGTACATCAGTTCGAGTTGCCATACCACATTAGCACAGAGATTCAGTTATCGATTCAAATCCCATAGTGGTAGAGGTACTGAAAGTATAAGTAGAGATAGGGGACATTAAGGTTTGATGATGTTATTAAACGAGTATAGTCCAGTGGAATAAATTGGGAAAGAAAATAAAGGACATGAAGAATTCAGAAGATTAGAATTTGGGTGAACACAAGGAGTGGATGCACCTGCGCCATTGCAAACGATTTTGAGCCATGTCATTCAAGGTCTCTAACCATCGGTTGCTATCATCTCGCGGTCCCCAACCAGGTAGTCTACACCTACCAACATGACTCAGTCCACTTGTCAGTGGTGGGGTGTGGCTAGAACCTTTGATCTAGTGATTATAAGTTGAATACATTCTGAGTCATGGGGTGCACACTTGTGGTAAATCCCAATTTAGGGTTTAACACTTGTTTGGTGGCTATCAGTTTTCCAGATAACGTAAATCCATAACGAAAATGTTAGAAGAAATAGTTGAATTTTACAATTCCATGTTCTATCATATTCGTGATTGCTCATTTTCCACTAGCTGTAATTATTATGTTTCTCTTTTTTCATGAATCACCTAAGTGTGAATTTACCTTTTTCAATCTGTTGGTTGGCTTTCTTAAGAATAAAATGGATATAAGATCTATAGGCATTTGCATTCTGACTGTACAAAACTACTACAGAAGTTACGGATTTTGTTTTGTATTATTTACTTCGGCTGTTTGTCAGCCTTTGTAACATATTTATATATTTTAATGCAAAAATATTGGTACAAAGGGGCACCAAATACATGTGCGCCACACAAGTCGCTTGATTTGTGTATGGGCTGTGATACTACCCGGGAATTCAACCAAAGCCCTTGTAATAGTCTCACGGCTATTTTTTAATCCCATGAGTCGGAGTGAATCTGTGTGCTTGAATAAATATGAATTTTACTTTTAATCTATGTCTAAAATAACAGTGTTTCATTTCCGTTGGCTTAGATATCATTAAATGTATTTTGCGATAAAAGATATTTATTTTAAAGACAATTTAAAGGCCCAAGTGTTTACAACATTTATTATTATAGTTACCCTTATAGAATTTTCTTTAAACTAACAGACTAAAAATCTCAATCTGTATGTATGAAATTAAGATAAACAAGAGTAGGAAAGATAAGAAGCCCCCAAAACTGTTCAAATCAATGACTCAGTTAACAAGCGTTACGACCAAGTACTGTGAATGCTCAGTGGCATTCATGGATACTTTTCTTGTCTAATGAAATCAGTTCATTTCAGAGATATATTTGTCTAGACGGGTGTGCGATGGAAATCGATAAAAATAGTGTTAGATTCTATGATAAACAACAAAACAAAACGAGGGAAACAACAACGGTATTTCAAAATGTCCTACGTATATATATATATATATATATATATATATATATATATATATATATATATATATATATATATATATATATATATATATATATATACTGTATGCAAAAGAATTATCATTAAGTAATGAAATAAATTGTTTACCTGAAAAAATTATGATGATCCACACAAACATTATACAATCGTTTAGCCAGTGTAGGACTAATACATTTAAAAGTCATATTACGATCTAATGAATCATCACCAGGTCTTCGTGAAATTATAAAACTACGTCCACGATGTGATAGGCTTATAATACGTGGCCAACTAATTCGCATTAAACGAATACGATTACGGTATAGCAGGATACCTCCATAATAAACACCTAAAGTAATATCTTGACCTTGGGACGTCTGTAAAAAAAACGAGAAAATAACACTGGATGAAGAAAATCTGAAAATATTACAATACTGAATACTGTATAATATATTCTAAATGATGGAAGAAAACACCACTGAAGTAGAAGAACCAAGTAAGTTATAGTTTGGAGGGAACACTAGAAATATACATATTAGCAATTGCAAACTGGAAAATTTATTCACTTTATTAAATTTACACCAAAACCTGATTAGTCTTAGTCATAAGTTGAATCTGTGAAGCATAAAATTAAATAAAACCTCAACTGTATAGAAATCAATTCGGTAAACATCGTGGAATCAAGCGGTAAATTGAACAGGGTACTGAGATGAATGAACGTCCGGCGCTATAACCGGATCCCAATTCTATGGTGCACATGGGCTCCAGTATCCTGGAGGAACAAATGTCGTATAAACCAACTTTTGGTCACCGGCTTCCATGGGACTGAATCTCCTCACGATGCTCCACTGCCTTGTGGACTAGACCTTTAGGTCAAAGGCTCGGGGTGTGGCCCCCTTAAGAAAATCACCTGCTTCGGTTTGGGCACCCGGGCAGTATCTCAGCCCACACACTAAAACTATGATGAACTATCTGCTTATAGAAAATATTCGTTTCTCTCCGACTAACATTGAAATGACTGCTATTATTATTATTATTATTATTATTATTATTTACTACGTCATTTATTCACTATCTGCTATTTCTACTTTTTGTATCCGTTTCGACTCAGACAGCAGCTCGCCTATGGTGAAAATTCAGCTTTATCTAAACGTTCTCGAGTCACTGCCTGGTTGAAAATTGTATGTTACTACCGAATATGAGTACTGAAGCAGTTTTTCTGAAACCACGTGCACCATTCAAACTGGCTGCCTTCAACGTTCGCACACTTATGCAGGTCGGACAACAGATAGGACTGGCTATGTCTTTGGAAAGTCTTAATATTGATGTGTGTTGTCTATCCGAGACCCGTATTCAAGACTCTGGTGAAGTACTACAAGTTCGCTCTCCATCTGTCACTTCAAAAAGCTTGTTTTATGTGCGTTTATCCGGGGACCCTGTGGCATCTTCGTCTGGTCTTGCTGGCGTTGGTGTCGCACTAAGCGCAAGAGCTGAGGCAGCACTAGTCGACTGGATCCCCATTAACAGTCGGTTATGTGCTGTTAGATTAGAAAGTTCCATCAAAGTGAGAAGAAATCGGCGTGAGAAACGATGTCTTTTCGTCATCTCCGCCTATGCCCCGACAGATTGCAGCCCGGATGCAATCAAGGACGAGTTCTACCATCAGCTAACTGTTCTTCTCCAGAAAGCGCGTTCGACAGATATTGTAGTACTAGCTGGAGACTTGAATGCTCAGGTCGGGCGTCTAGGCACAGAAGAGAGTCGTTTAGGTGGCCGATGGGGACTCGTTGGTCGCAGGACAGATAACGGGGGACGTCTGCTGCAACTATGCACAGACCACAATCTGTTTCTGGCTAGCACTAACTTTCGGCACAGTCATCGCCGATGTGCCACCTGGCGTCCCCCTTCTGCATCTCAAGCCTGGACTCAGATTGATCACATCGCGATCGGCTACCGCTGGCGCGGTTGTGTACAAGACTGCCGCTCCTTTTGGAGTACCTATCTGGAATCTGATCATGCTCTGGTCTGCGCCAATCTTACCTTACTTTTCAGTGGACAACGAAGTGACCGCCACCAAAGGATTGATGTTAGCAAGCTGGCTGCAACTTCTGTTGCTAGTAAGTACCGAAACGAGCTAGCTTCTAGGCTAGCTACCATTCCACCGAAAAGTATAGATGAGCATTGGTTGCAACTTCATGACGCCATGAAAATGGCGGGTCAAGTCAGTTGTGGGTTTGCGAAACGTCCCGCTTACAAGCACTGGGTTTCTTCTGGTTCCTTACAACTGATTGAAGCCCGTCGGTCTACTCCGGGTGACCGTGAGTTTGACCACAGACGAAGGATGTTACGTAATGAAATCGGGCAAAGCTTGCGTAAGGACCGAGAAGCCTGGTGGTCGGAGCGTGCCAGTGAGCTGGAAGCAGCAGCTGCATCTGGTAATTACCGGAAGCTCTTCCAACTCATCCGAGCCACTGGCAGCAAGAAGTTTGGTGTGAGCGAAACAATCTGCGAGGATGACGGAACGCCAATCACTAACATCCATCGCCGTCTTGGACGATGGGCAGAATTCTTTGAAGGGCAGTTCAACTGGCCTGCTGTTCCGGCAACATCGGTCAGACTGTCCTGCCCTCCATGGCCGGTGACGACTGATCCACCAAATGAGGCGGAAGTCCGCAAGGAACTCCAACTCTTGAAACGCTACGAATCACCGGGCCCAGATGACTTACCTCCGGCTCTTTTTAAAGATGTTGGTGACTTTTTGACTAAGGGACTGACGACGTTGTTTACAAAGATCTGGGAACTAGAGAGTGTACCAACGTCATGGAATGAGTCGATAGTTGTCCCTATCTTTAAAAAGGGTTCACGTTGTTCCTGTAACAACTATCGGGGGATAAGTCTACTTCCGATTGCGTCCAAGCTATTGGCTTCCGTTATACTTCGTAGGTTGTTCAGAACCCGAGAAGGATTGACTCGCAAGGAGCACGCTGGGTTTGGTTCTAGTCGAGGATGTATTGATCATATCTTCATCCTCCGCCAAGTGTTAGAACACCACCATACTTATCAAAGGCCAACAATCGTAGTGTTTCTTGATATCAGGGCTGCCTTCGATTCGTTGGATAGGACTGTTCTTTGGGAGTGTCTATTGAAGAAGGGTGTGCCTGAGAAGTTTATTAACATCCTAAAAGCCCTATACACAAACACCTCAGGCAGAGTGAGGGCATACAACCACCTTTCTCCATTGTTCCATTCAAGCAGTGGGGTTAGGCAGGGTTGCCCAATCTCACCATTCCTCTTCAACTTTGCCATCGATGACATTCTGGAAACAGCTCTGATGGATGTAAGTAATGGTGGTGTGGATCTGTTGTCTGGAGAAAGACTTCTCGACCTTGAGTATGCGGATGATATTGTCTTACTGTGCGAGAATGCCCAAGCTATGCAATCCGCACTTAATCATTTGGCAATCAATGTCCGTAGGTATGGTATGTTCTTTGCACCCTCGAAGTGCATAGTACTTCTACAAGACTGGCAGGATTCTAATCCTGTACGCACTCGGGATGGTGAGCAGATTGAAGTAGTCGAGAAGTTCGTGTATCTAGGTAGCTGCATAAGTGCTGGTGGTGGTGTGAGTGATGAGATCAATGCTCGTATAGTGAAAGCCAGAGCGGCTTATGCTAATCTGGGCCATCTTTGGCGCCTTCGTGATGTTAGTCTGGCTGTAAAAGGTCGGATCTACAACGCGACGGTGAGAGCAGTTTTGCTCTATGCTTGTGAAACCTGGCCTCTCTGAGTTGAGGATGTTAGACGACTCTCTGTGTTCGATCATCGTTGTCTCCGAAGGATTGCTGGCATCCAGTGGCAACACCATGTCAGTAATGCAGAGGTTCGGCATCGAGTGTTCGGGCACAGAGACGATAATGAAATTGGTGTCACCATCTTGAAACACCGACTTCGGTGGCTTGGACATGTTCTACGAATGTCGTCCCAGAGAATTCCTCATCGTGCATTATTTGCCGACTCTGGGACTGGTTGGAAAAAGCGGAGAGGTGGTCAGTATATGACATGGTCTCGTGGTATGAAAGAAAGCTGCAAAGGGCTAGCTTCTGTTGGTCCTTCACGACTCCCTGGCTGGGGTCCGAAAGACAGTGTAACGCAGTGGCTAGAGACGTTATCAGATATGGCTCAGAATAGAAGCCAGTGGCGATCGTGCTGTAACCTTCTTTTACTTTCTTCATAAAAAGTGTTTGTATCTTCCTTAACTGAAAGATTTCTTCTGATTGTACCTTTCCGTTTTCCCCATCATTGTTATCTTCCTCTTTTTTTATAATTCCCCACGTTCATTACTTTATATATATATATATATATATATATATATATGGGCTACTACCTACCTGCCTCCAAAATAACACTAATATTTATATATTTGATATTAAACTAATATTAATGTAATACATGGAAAAGTTAAACACGACCTAAAACAGTAAGTTCAAAGGGATAAACCACATATGTTACACCAAATATTTAATGTTTAGAAATCCTACGAATAAAGAGTTACTTAAATAATAGATAATTAAATTAAAAAACTGATTAGTAAAATTTGCGAATCAACGATAGATAATAAGACAAAACAGTTATAGCAAACAACCAATCTAATTTTGAAATAGTAGCAGATACACAGACATGTAAACGCAAATATAAACACGTACAAAGTCAATTTGCGTGTGTATGTATGAGGGAATTAGATAAGTGATGAAGTCTGATAGCTTAAAATCTAGTGGAATTCAGGATATATAGACATAGATAAATGAATAAACCAAAGAATATAGAACATTAATTTAATTTTAGATAGTTGGACTGTTTCGACTTTACAAAACATTCATCTGTGTGTTTATCGCTCAATGAGAATCTGGGTAGCATGACTGACTAGTTGACCAAACACTATAAACCAATTTCGGTATTTACTTATGTAATGCATTAAATAAGCAGTATGACTCATAATAGATTAGATTTCAATAAATCTATATTATTCAATAAAAAGTAAATCACTTATTAGATGATGGAGTTTCATTGTTTCCTATATAATTAATGACAGGAAGATTTAGGTGGAAATAACAAGAGAATATGGGATAGAAGAAGCATTGAGTATTTAAACAGTTGGATGAAGCAATACAGGTAATACTCAAAAAATTGAATGAATTGTGAGGTAGAAGTCACTGAGAAGTGGTCTAGTTTTCATGTCACGTGTCTGAAATGGTCAGGCTTCACAACTGATTCTACAAAACACGAGGCTAGAAGTAACATGAACTTCACGAAGACACGAATGAATATTGTTACAGCATAGATATTCTTGACAATTTCAATGTACCGTAACTGTGTATGACTACGACTTCTTGAATGCATTTGCATAGCTTAAAAAAGGTGGTGGTGTATGGAAATTAATTTTGCATTCATTTGCGGGTTCCAGCTCTGCTTTGATTACTTCGATTTGAGTAGTCCAATAACATGAACTCGCTCTGCCAGGAAAATTATAGCTAAAAGTCTCCCACATAGATTTTGATTAGTCAGACATTTGCACTACAACCAAACATTCAGTTGAGTTAATAAGTAAATTTCGGTAATGATTTCAGAGATTCTGTCATAGAAGATAGAAGTATAATTTTATTGCTTGTCATGTTCAGGAAATTGAGTTTTGTTGGGTCGACAAAAATTTCCACATTAGAGAGCGAAGGGTTTTTAAAAGTCGTAAATATACACCCTTAGAAAAACAACACAAGCATAAGTGAAATTTCTCACGATAAAAGGTTCAAACATTTGTTAACTATTCCTTGATAGTCAAATAATGAAGACTGTAGTTTTGTTAGTAATTTAGTTTGAATTATATTTGTGTAAAACAACTGACTCCCTCGATGTTTGGTAGTGTAGGAGTATGTTGGAAGAAAGCTAAAAGCGACTAAACTTTTACGTGGTATTAGTTCACGAAGTCACTAAGTGTTGTTTGAATTACATTGTGCTAGTGAGGATGTGCTACATGGTTGAATTATTGTAACGAATTGTGAAGACATCAAGTGACAGGACTAGAAATTGGCAACAGTTAGTAGTAGATAAACTCACTCTTTGAGTTTCAAAAACTATCTACTTGGACAAACCTAATTCATTCTTTTCAAATATTATCTATGCCTAATCGTTTCTACCACTAATCTAGCATTTTTCGTGACAATTTTATCTTACTATGATATTATGTGTCTGAAGTTGACTGAAACGATACCGACACCAGTGGACATGAGATGAGTATAAAATTACTTTCACTAAATATATATTAACTGACTCTATCATATTGAGTTAGGCGTATTAAAAATATATTTAAAGTAAGCTTTACACGCAAACTAACACAATGTCGACCGCATCAGCTATGAAGTAAGTAATCACTGAAGAAAATCGGAGATTGCCGCGCAACATCATGAATTCACTGAAGTTGGGTGTATACACCTTTAGATGCCTGGTCGGTGGTCTATAGGTTAAGGGCGAGAGAGAATATAGTGTCCGATTCCCAGTTGCGTGTTCTTGGATCAACACTAATGAGAAGTCACAGTGCTAGGACTAAACAGCTGTTCCGATGATGGACTAAATAAGATCAGTTTATGATTTAAATAAAACGTGTTACATATATGCAAGAGAAAAACAATTAAACATGGATGGTTGAATGAAGTGAAACAGAAAACACATGTATACACAATCAAAGTAACTCACCTTAACTTTATGCAAGTCAACACCGTACAAGGCCAATTTACGAGCATTATTTAAAAATAATCGATCAGCCTCTTCAGGTGTTTTACCACTAGATAGAGAAAACAAAAAAGAAAGAATGACATGAAAAGTAAGCAGTATAATTTTATGGCGGATAAGGATTCTAAGAAGTGTAATTCGAGTTTGCATATGATTTACATAACATATGCGGACAGACATAAGTAGTATGTAGCAGGAATTAGAATATTTACTATCAGAAAAGCGAAATAAGAAGGGGAAGGAGAACGAAGAGCAATTGGAATAACAACGGTAGCGAAAAAATGAAGTATGCAAAAGACAAGTTAACCAAGATATGTAAATGACGTGTTTAATGTATGGTTTACATATTTTACAAAGCTACAGTATGATTTTGCAAAAATAATAAATTGGTTTACTGTATATAAGTTTCCGTCCACCACGTAGAAGTAGCGATTGGTGCTAGGTGGCACAAAAAAGATTAAACAACTCGACTACGAATAAATCTGTTTAGAAATCGAAGAATTGCACAAAAACATGCGATCTTGTAGTATACAGTTTAAAAAGATTACAGGAAACTTCCAATTGCTCTAACAACTAAAATACCTGTTGTAGTGGCTTGGCTTCGATTACTAATCACTCTGATAACCATTATTAGATTAATCCCAAAGGTGTACGAAATCAGAAGGCAATACGAAGCGGCGACTACACTTTATTAGACTGCACAGATAAAAAGGTACAAGTATATCAAGAGTATCTGAGCAGAAATGCTAATAAGAGTGAGTAAGCGAATACAGAGGTGGATTTAGAGTCAAACCGAATCGAGACGATGCGAGGCCAGGCAAAAGCAATTAGAAAGATTCAAGCACATATATGTATGGGAGAGCGGATAATTCATCGAGCGATTTTAAGTATTATTTAAGGTAGAGAGAGGAATATTTGCGCAGGCAGTCACATGTGATTATAATGCACGTTTGTACAGACATGATAGTGATCATAATAATACAAAGAAAAATAGACAAATTGTTACTGTTCGATAACACTATCTGTTAAATAAGTTAATAAAAGGCTTGAAAAAATTAAACGTAAACAAAATTAATTATATTGTATTGTATGACAACTTGAAATGAGGTACGTACGAAGTTATACGTTGTTACTGTTTGACTGAATTTATTAGCACGTAGTGTTAACTAGGTATCATATAAATAATATGACGCCATTTAATATGAATAAGACGTGGTGACAGTATGATAAAAGTGTACCAGGGAGAGAAAAATTATGAGAACAAAATATATCAATAACAAAAAAAACATCATTTCTTATTAAATGAAAATATCTTAATGCTAATTAAATTGTATGGAGTATTCGAGTTTTATCAAGCATCTATTGTATTTTCGGTCTTAAAATAATAACCCCTTGTTTAACTAACGTCTATGAGCAGGTAAACCCCCAAATACCCTGATACAGCCGAGAGTGGGGAGAGTCCACACTCCCTCTCGAAATGCTCTCACATGGCCGCACGTATATAGCCTGTGCCAGGGAAGTCCTACTCACTGCCTTTTCGTGGCGGGGGTATTGTTTACGAAATTGAGAGGACGAAGAGCGAATGTCCGGCGCTTTAACCGGGTTGGTGGACACGGAGAGTTCACTTAGGGGAGTTGGTAAACCTTGATTCCAAATCAGTGGTGCACATGGGCTCCAGTATCCTGAAGGAACAAATGGCGTATGAACCAATCGTTGGTCACCGGCTACCATGGGACTGCATCTCCTTACGATGCTCCACTGAGTTGTGGGTTAGACCTTTAGGTCAAAGGCTCAGGGTGTGGCCCCCTAAGAAAACCACCTGCTTCGGTTTGGAAACCCGAGAAGTATCACAGCCCTCACTCAAATCAATTGACATTTGTGTGGCGCATATGTATTTGGTGCCTCCTTGTACCAATATCTATGTGTTCAAATAATAATAATAAGGCTGCATATATACAGGGAACCAGAATTCTAACACTAAGCTGGTTTTAAATGATGACAGCTATATAATGTTAGCATTTAATGAATGTCGCGAAAATGATAAGGCGGTGAAGCAAGCAAGAAATAATATTCAGAAAAATATCTGATGTAATTTTAGCAAACATGTGTTTTTGTTACACGTAGTGTATTAGTACATAAACGGTTGGAGTTGTAGTTATGGAGGATATTACACTTGACTAACAATTAAAATTGAACAGATTGGAAAACTCGGTCAGTCTACTTCAATCTGAGCAGTTGAGTGGTATCCTAGTTTTGTGACTTTCAGGTTATCTGATAAGTCATTCACTAAGTACGTGGTTGTGAATAACACTCTAAACGCTAAGGATAATGATACTACTAGCTGGTTGCCCAAACTGAAGTAGGTGGGGTGGGGTTTGAACCTAGAAATCAGTAGTTGAAAATCGAACGCATTAAAATACTAGGCCACTGATAGATTGAAAATTATTGCTACAATAGTAATCATTTAAAAACAATCAAATTATATGAAATTGATGATTAGGTTCAGATTAAAGTGCCTTGATCAGCATACATACACAATGTCTATACTATCGTTATTAATGATACTTTTTACCGATTGATATATTCTAAAAAATGTATACAAAACTTTAAAATGTAAAAATATGTCATAATCAAAAAGTGTGCTACATAAAAGAGAGAGAGGCAAATGATAAAGTTAGAAAATGAAAAACAAAACTTCATTCGAGTTAAGTGAAAGGGAGGAATGTATGGAGAAAAAAGTGAACTTGTTAAAATGTAGTTTAGTAACTGTGCAGTGGATCAAAAAAACTTTAAGCGACATGATATACAAGGGTAGTGGAATAAAGATCAACCATGCAGGGTAAATTTTTTAAAAAAATTAATAATTAAACACGGTTGGATAAGTAATAATAATTAGGACAAAGTTTTGTTATCCATATTTTTCTTTGGCATGAGAAACACATAAATATACACATATATTGTGGTCAAATAATTGAAGGAAGGTTGGTAAGATGAGAAATTAGGGAGAATAAAAAGAACAAGACTGATTTGTTCAAGTTGTCACTTGAGCTAAATTCTGAGCTCTACTGCTAATATGGCTGGGGAATAACTGTCACCTGATATTAATTGCAACAGAACCAGACTGCTATGTTAACGATCCATGGGGTCGTAGAAAAACACTGCTGGGAAGTCCAAACTATAGGATGAAACGGTTGTCTGATGGTTTTTGATTTCCAATAGTTATCTAACTAAGGTCAGTCTGTAATGTGAACTATAAGATTTGACATCCCACACGAACTCTCATACTAAAAAAGTATACATAACTTACCGATGAAGTTTGTGTAGTTCAACAATTCGTCCTAACATTTCAGGTGTTTGAAGCATATGAGGAGCGAATGGATGATCTTGTATATATTTTATACCAATATGTTGAGAGGGATCATGGTCGCCAGCTTCTGATTGAACTATATACGACCCAAGAATGCAATAAGTTACAAATGAACATGGAAGCCTAAATAAGACGAAAGTGTAAACAAGTTTCTATTATTGGTATACACATTTAAATATATATAGTTCGGAAAACATTTTCTTAACAGAATAAACTCATTATTTTGAGGACATAAGAGAGAGTGAACCTTGTTAGACAAACTACTAAACGATTTGTTGAGAATTTATGAACAATATAATACTCTTCGAAAAAAAGAATATTGGACTAAATTAAACGAACTCGTTAACCAATTAAGTAGATGCATACACTACTTATCAGTTATCTTGATCGTGAAATCCAGTATTCTTTCATAAATATCTTTTGAGTGTCTTTTCGAAACGTGGTCTAATGCTTAGTCTTTTAAAGTCTCATTGCCACTAAATTATTTGTCTATTTTACTGTACATCTTGACAAGTTTATTTTGCCGTGCCAATGAGATATGATAATTTGGGCTGGTGCATATTTCTGACGATTTACAACGATGATAAATGACTGAGTGAAGTTGCATATATGTCGGAATGTATAGTGACGGTTTGGGAGACAAGATAGTTAGTATCCGTTCAGCCCATCATTATGTGATACAAAGATTATTATAAAGTTTACTTAGATAAAACTGAAAGATATGGATGACACTTCATCTAAAAACGAAACTACAGAGTGGTACACAATAAACATTTCACTTAATTACAATAACCATGAATTAAATAAGTTTTAACGACAGAAATAATTTCTGTTTGTAAACGAACAAAGAACGCAAACGTGAGAATTCCAACGACAAAATAAGAAAAACTTTCAACTAATTTTGAAAATGTCTTTTCATGAAAAAGAGAGCAAAGTGTTTTTCTTCTAAGAATTTCATAAAAACGATGAAAAAAGCCTTTAATTTACTTGAAACAAAATATTTCCTCCAGAAAAGTGAAAATGAAAATATGTGTAGACAAATTAAAGTTTAAAAGAACACTAACAGCATACCACTTTCAGGAGAGTGCATCAGTGTTCTTATAACTGAGTTGCACAAGATCAATCTATGCTGTTTAGATATATCTGGTTAATATCTAGTTCGCGTAAAAACTAATATGATGATAACTTACATATTTTGGTAGTGAACAAATAATTGTCAATATAGAGCAGTGGCATAACAGTTCAATAATTAAGCCGCCCCAAAGGTCATTCGGTTAAAAGGCAGCCGGTTAGTATCCTTTAAAAAAAGTGTCTCAACGCTGAGCATATCAATATACGCTTGGTAAATCAGTTAATTTTTCTAATAATTAACAATTGGAATGCAACTACCTAACCAGGAAATGTTGATGCACTTAAACAATTTGCATCGCGGATTTTAATTGTATTAAAACTACTGATACTATACAGTTGCTCAAATTGAAATGAGTGAATAGTGGTTCCGACCTGCTACTCATCGTCATCTGAATTCAAATGTAAGCTAAAGAGATAAGATTAATATCAGTCTAGGAGTTGTGGAGATAGTTGGATTACACTGAAATCATCAACCGATCTAAGCTCTACGTTTTAGAGTTTAAGCAATTAAGAGACCGGGTGTTAATTCATGGATGCCCACCGCTGAGTCTCATAATAGAACGATAGTGGTCTAACATAGATCGGTCTGTACTTATATGGAACAGTAAAGACTTCACAAATAATCTCTAGTCATTGAGTACTCCTCAGAAGATTAAAAGAAAGCTACTAATTTGTTTTATTCTGGTCAAGTAAAAATGACTTTTGTTAAACACCAAACAATATGTACGACACTATCTAATAATTCCATGGATTAACTGAGACGTTGAAATGGAGGTGGATCAATAGAAATATAATAGCTGAACTATTTGTTACTTTAGGTTGTACCATACCGGACTGGTGGGTTAGAGAATAGTAAGACTAAAAGTACCAAAATTAAGGTCAGAGAGAAAAGTCGTCCTATTGACTGTGTTGGGTTGTGACGATAGTAAGATGTGTCCCTTAGACGACCAGTATCTTCAGTGACGCTGCCTAACACAACGAGAAGAGGGGATAAGAAAAAGGTTAATGGTAAAAATCCCAAACTTATTTTGTCACAGATTTTCGTTGTTGACGGTGAGACCTTTGAAGGATAAAGCTAGCACATCGAAAACTATCCATAAGAAGGATATATATGACCGGTCCCAGAAAGTTGTTCCCTGGGCTTTGGGGTCAGGCTCTCAAATCACCAAGACCATTTACTACTAATTTAATTTTCTTTTCGGGTACTTCAAGAGATATTCATGCTTTCGCCAGTAATCAATTTTCCAAACACATTTTTCCATTAACATAATGTTTTTTAAATTCATTCCAGTTTGGCAAATTTCATTTTGATAAATATGGGAAGAGGTGAGACATAAAAATAAACTGAAAAGTGGAGTGATGAAGGAAATTTTTCCCGTTATAAATACCAGTATATTTGGTTTATTGAAAAACGTATGAATATCGATTTACAACCATATTAAAGGAAAGTTAATCACAACTGGAATTATACTATTCACAGGTTTTCAAGCTATACAGTAGTGTCAGTCATACGCAACGTAGAACCTGGCACACATGTACATTGAATTAAATTACCACACCCCATTAGCATAGCAGGGTCTAATTCTGAGGTCAAATCCCAGAGCAATAGACGTAGTGATGGTAATAAAAAAGATTAGGCATCGAATATGATTTAAGAAAATATCAATTCATGAAATAGTAAAAACGTTATGCGGAATTTAGAAACCTGAAATCTAAAAGAAGATAGAGTGTATGACTTTGTACCACTAGAAACAACTTCAACCACATGTTACCCAAAATATTTAACAATTGGTTACGATAATCACGTGAACGCTAACCAGGTAGTTTATAGTTTTTATATGGCTCAGTTCAATAGTTAGTTTCACTATGAACTGTTGGCATGTCTTAATTTGGTCGCTCCTAACTTTCAATTTATTCCTACACTAGCCACCATCGCAGATAGAGGTAGCCCTCCCTCTCGAAATGCTCTCACATTATCACGCGTATATAGCCTCTGCCAGGGAAGTCCTACTCACTGCCTTCTCGTGGCGGGGGTATTGTTTACGAAATTGAGAGGACGAAGAGCGAATGTCCGGCGCTTTAACCGGATCCCAAACCAATGGTGCACATGGGCTCCAGTATCCTGAAGGAACAAATGGCGTATGAACCAATCGTTGGTCACCGGCTACCATGGGACTGCATCTCCTTACGATGCTCCACTGCCTTGTGGGTCAGACATTCAGGTCGAAAGCTCGGGGTGTGGCCCCCTAAGAAAACCACCTGCTTCGGTTTGGACACCCGAGCAGTATCACAGCCCTCACACAAATCAATTGAGATTTGTGTGGCGCATATGTATTTGGTGCCCTCTTGTACCAATATTCATGTGTTCAAATAAATAAAATAAATAAATAATTTTTCATACAGTTCATTATACACGTTATAACATCTCCTTCTAAGTTATTCCCAGCTTTCGTTTTCATGTCTGATTTATTGAAGGGTTAAACAGGTTAGCTGAGTAACATAACAATTTCGGAAGTGTAATCATCCATAAAACAGCATTACGTCATTTCAATGATGTCACATCTAGCGGCTTAATGAATATGGAGATATTTATGAATGTTGGCTACACGATTTAGAGATTATCTGATTGAATTGATTATTAATGTTAGCACAGCTCACGGCGAATTAAATACCCATTTACTAGGTACTAGATTCGAATACTTTAAACCATATTCTAAGTGTGAGGGCTAGTGGTACTAGCTGACTGACTTAATTGAAATAGGTAGGGGAGGGTTCGAATCCAGGACTTGGTAATTGGAGTTCAAACATCATAACCAGTTAACTACCACTTCACGCATCTCATAACTTTTAAATATTTCAGTACCACACTATGGAATTAGATAACAGCTGGATTTGAAATATGAAAATTCGAGAAAGTATGGATTGCATGCATACATTGTTAAATTTATTAATAATATATTTTTGTTCCATCTTCAATGTTACATTATTATCACTACGCTAACATGATGATATTATATTTCTTAAAAAACCACAATTGGTTTAATAACGTTTCTCTAATTGTAATAGCATCTAAAAGTCATTGTGCAGCGTACTTAAACATTCTGTCTAATTTAGTCAAACTCGGTTCGAACGTGAAAACCGTTTGAAATTTTCCTTTGAATAGAACTTATAACTCTCATTCATAGTGCGTAGTAGACGAAAATGGTCAGTCAGTCCATAAGCTATATAGAAACTTGGACAAATGTATATTAATTCAAGTTGACACACATATATCAGAGCAACAAGATAGAAATAGAAAGGCATATACCGTTGTATTAAAAGTAATAACAATATTAGTGGAAGTTAAAAAGACTATGCATAGATAATTCAGCTCGACAAACAAAAAATTCGCAGAAGAAAAAAGTATACGATAATGTTAGAACTCAAGATCCAAGGGAAGACAAAGTGAATATGCCAAAATCCGTGTATAGATATCAATAAGCCATAACGTTAACGCTGGGAACTCACATTTCCCTATAACATAATCAACCACATAACAAATGTAGCGAATACTAATTAATGAGAGAGTTAGATCTTTTATTATCCAACCCAGCAACCCTGATTGCTTAGTATTTTTTGGACACTTTACTAAGCAAGTCCCCAAAATCGGAACATGGTTTGAACGGGTAATTAATTATATCCCAGGTAACACAAGCTGAATGGGACTGAAGCGCAGTAGGAAAAACGTTAGTACATCTATAAATTTACACGAGAAGATTCTAGAATCTTCAATTAATAGCTGGTGCTGATTAGTTAAGAATAGGCGAAACAGCGTGCTCCAACATAATCCCGCATGAAACATGCTTTAATCCAACCTATGTCCTACCAAGAGAAAGTGATTTATAAATAATTATACACTTCAGCAACAACTTCATTTAAGGTATCTTGAAATTAAGGAAAGGTCCTATAATATTTACAATTCCAAAAATTTAAATAAAGACATGAGTTTGCATTTTTAATTTAAGGACTGAACACGTATTTCTTGAGGAATCTTTAATTATTGTTTGTGAGAAAATGTGAATCAAAAACCCGGAAAAGATTAGTCCAGTTAAGTGCAATAATTGAAAATTGACTAAATCCGTTATTCACAACTGTGCCAGCTATGATCTTCGCTTATATAATAATAATAATAATAATAATAATAATAATAATAATAATAATAATAATAATAATAATAATAATAATAATAATAATAATAATAATAAACACATTTCCACTTTACTTACTGTCCACTAACTATATCCTGCCGTACTTGTAAACAAAGATAGTAACGTGTTATATCTTCTTTGATTGAGTCGATATCACATGGATAGAATTTAACTTGAAATTCAAACTGCCATTCATTTTCTATATAATGACATAATTATGATAATGTATTCTACGCCAATCGACAATAATTCATTTATATAGAAATTTAAATATATCAGAGCAACACAAACAATTTCATGTTTATCGGTGCAAGTCACTACTAGAGGATCAACAGCAGAGGGACTAACAAAGTATTTATAACTTAAAAGACGACGATAATGAAAAAGAATGATTTTCAGCCATCGTGGGTGGTTTTAACTAATAATGTCTCACTAGAAATCTTATAAAACCATTAGGACTAAGTTATAACAAAAATTGAACGAGTTTAAAATGATGAAACTATCTTGAAACCTTCCTCCTATTCGATTAATATAGATGGACCTGATTAGTGTGGATCGGTGGGACAAACAGAGTAGAATATACACTAGATTATGGTTTCCAAAGCCAACAATTTAGAAAACCAATCTTGACAAATAATTAATTTTGTTATTATTTAACTAATAAAACTAACATTATTGTATGTTGGACAGTAAAGTAATTGATAATAATAGTAACAATAACAATATTATTATTAATAGGCTAACTAACGATTCACATGGTGTTGATTTATCGAAGGGAACAATTGTTTTAGAGCTATATATTCATCAGTATAAACGTTTACTTTACAAATGAAATAGTTCAAGGCATATGTTCTAGCAATTAACTATACGATATTTTTCTAATTAATTTAATACTTTATCATCTCTTTTATAACAACATCGGTTTTTTATTATCAACATTTAAAAAGATTGAGAGCTCATTGAATAATAAAAAGATCTGCGGTCGGTGGTAATAATAACATTAACCAACAACACCATGGTCTTTTTCATTATCTACAGATTTATGTTCACTAGACATCGTCGGTTCGCTAGCCAAGAAAGACCAAACAATATATCAGACAATTTGATTGTTATCATTTATAAGATCACACTGTTTCTTTTAACCAGGTAATACATAAATTATTACCGAAAAATAATAACCATTATTCCTAAAGACTATGTGCTTCATTCAACTGTGAAATTGGATTAGGAAAATAATTCTGCACTTTATTCTATCAGGAGAATTTTTATATTACCGGCATTGTCTAAGAATATGTATAAAATATTGCGAATAAATCTCCGTTATTTAAGAGATAAGTTGAAGCCAGAAGAGATCAGTGGTAGAATCTCTGTCTATGAAGCTTGGTGACATATGATCGAATCCGCCACGGAGCATCAGTTCTCTCAGGATTACAGGTATATCTTGATGACAAGTCTCAAATGGCACGAAACCTAAGTTCAGAGTCTCCTGGCAACTGTCTCTAACCACCTTACACCTGAACATAGCGCACGTGATGTAGTTATTTAAGACTAGTGACCACATTTCAAGTTGAGTGATAAAACCCGATTAGAACTAAGAACTTGACATATATGACGTTGGTCACTACTCGGTGATTAATCAACTATAAACACATTTCAGTTCTACAAAAGATCAGTCATGACCAGACAGCTCAATGGTAATGTCTCAGACTGTGAAACAAATTAGTGCATATTCAAACAGCACGATTATTATCACCCTTGCTAGTAGTAAGTGGCGACTAGTGTGAAACAGGTTCATAGTATCCTGTCAACTAACTTCAACTGCCTAACGTGGGACAACAGAATATGAAAATAAATTGATTAAAGCACATTAAAATACGAAACAGAAATAAAATTATTTGTTTTAATACTACCCCAGTATACAGACAGTAATATATATGCTCCTTTGATACGTCAGAATAATAGAATGGTGGTAACTTACACGAATGAATAACCAGAGTTTAAAATACAATCACTTCAGATATGTTTAGTTGTAGAAGAGAACTAATGAGATGAGTTTTTTTTATGAATAATTCATATATTTTTGTAGATAACTTTTCGGCATCAAACTGATACCACTTGAGGTAACAGTAAAAGAAATTAATTACCGTCGGACATTTTCGTCCAGGTATGAGACATATTAGCAGTGTGATAACGACCCCGCTATAGTACATTTAAATGACACCGATCAGTAACGAAAAGTAATCCCCACAGAACCTCTCCAAAGGATGGTGGCAATATTGACAAAATATATGGTAACTTACTACCGATTTGTTTTGCAATTTTCTGATCAATTTGGAGCCAGAACTAGATAATCACAATAAAAAATAGGAGAATAAAAATGATGTGATGGTAGTCGTGAGAAGATAATGGTTAATTAGCAATGGTTAAAAAACGAAGGCTCGTAAATAGTTACACCCATCAAAAACAAGATTGATTGTTGAACAGAGCTCTGGATTAAAAAACGGTCATCCAGTTATTTCAGGTCTTCAATGATTGTGTAACTTAGATCGGCTCTTGATTTCAATGAAACCGATCTGATCGCGATATCATCTCATGTCGTATAACAATACCCTATAATATACGTAAGTTTCATGTTATAAATTACTACTTATACATTTGATAACCTATCATAAGCACCTACAGAGAATCAGTTTTTCGTGTTAAATAAATTCACTTGTTTTAAGAAAAACTTAAATGGTTTTTTTAAGCTAATGACCAACGAGCCTTTTTTATGTTGACTGATAGATCTACTTCAGAGAAAGACTTTCCTTTATGTTCTATCCAATTTGAACAAAAAGCGATTTGTTTATGTGACTTTTGGGTAATATAACGACGTGAAACTGAACTACGTGACACTCAGCTAGCTGAGATTCACTTGATTACTTCCTTGTAAATGTAAGGTTAGATGTCAATTTCCGATACTTCATTGTTCGAATTCACGTCGATATTTTCTTGAGCTGTTATACTACAAGTTCGAATTTACATTCTAATTAATATCAATCCCTCTTTTTTAATCTTGTGTTGAAAGGGGGAACATTGATCGTTTTATCCAATACTACACATGAAAGTTGCTACAGTGATAATGCATGACTGATTGACTATCTATCCCTTTAATCAAAGATTTATTTATCTGGATGAGTTCTACGAGGGTTATCATCATCCAATGGAAGTGTGTTAGGAAGTTATATTTGAAGTGTTAATTAGTATTTTACTCTCAAGACTTAACACATACACACTGCATTGTAAAAATATATTGTAGAAAATCAAGCAACTGCTTTCTGCAAATTTATTTATTTTATTTATTTTAATACATAGATAATGGTACAAGGAGGCACCAAATACATATGCGCCACACAAATCTCAATTGATTTGTGTGAGGGCTGTGATACTGCTCGGGTGTCCAAACCGAAGCAGGTGGTTTTCTTAGGGGGCCACACCCCGAGCTTTCGACCTGAATGTCTGACCCACAAGGCAGTGGAGCATCGTAAGGAGATGCAGTCCCATGGTAGCCGGTGACCAACGATTGGTTCATACGCCATTTGTTCCTTCAGGATACTGGAGCCCATGTGCACCATTGGTTTGGGATCCGGTTAAAGCGCCGGACATTTGCTTTCTGCAAATGATTATATATATATATATATATATATATATATATATATATATATATATATATGGTAAACTGTGTTCACCATGTGAAAACGTGTTCTTATTCTCAATTCACCATGTAGTTTAATCAATGACAAGATGATGCACTCAACAAACATAATCAACTTAAATACACAATATATATAGGGCATAAAAATTTTGCAATCTCTTGCATCTCAATTTTAGCTTTTTTTTCACAAACCAAAAGTCATCAGGTATGTGATTTTAAAATAAGTGATCATATAACTACTGTGTATGTACGTATAGATTTTATAAGATGACTAAATCTGTTGGGATTTCGTTCACTAAGTGCATATAAATATACTGTTTAACTGCTGAATAAGAATGACTTTGAATTGTGCCAAAGTATTGTTTCTAGTTCGAATATGTAGGAGAACCTAGTATGATAACTTGACATTTTTTTCTATTTCCCTCATACCTATGATAATTGCAAATAATCTTTGTAGTGGTTAGTGCACTCTAAACTTCCAGTCAACAAGTCAAATCAGAAATGATGACTTAGATTGTATAAAGTGTTAAGAGTTTTCAAAAACTTCATATTGGATTGTAAGTTAGGGATTGACATAGTTCAGTCACTAGTTTTGAAATAGCACTTCGCAGTAAAATAAATAAATATTGACGTGTTATCATGGAACTATTTTAGAATGCAGTTTTTAACGGTCTCCCTTAAATAGACCTATGTTTTTAAAATCAAAGTCAATGACAAGGTTACAGGAGTAGTAAAACGTTAACTCTGACAGCAATAACGTGACAAGTACAAGTAAAAATAGGTAAAGAGGATGGTCATGACAAATGTTACATGATATGTCTAATGTACATGGGTTCCCCATGGCGTTTTATCTATCAATGAGTGTTCAATTAATTGATGTATTTCTTTAGGGAATCTTCCTATAACAGACACTGACACTGATTTGACGAAGGAGATAAGAGATTGAAATCTTCAACATTTAGTTTGGAGACCAGTTTCATGAGCATAGGGATGTCATTCTATAAGGTTAAATCAATGGCATTGGTTGCAAAGGAGAAGGATCAAGTTAGTGAAAACATGATGATAAAAAGAATAAAACAAAATTTCAGAAGCAAGAGGAGATTTATGGTATACAGGAGTTTTGTTGGATGTGTAGGTAATCTAAAAATCTAGGAAAATAAAGTTAAATAACTGTGATGACTTCATGAACACGGGAGCTTGATTAAAAAACTTGAGAGACTGACAGGCTAATCTATACATGGTTAATTTGTGAAGATTTAATTTCAGTTTTATGGTATCAAAAATGCATTTTGATGATCAAATACATTATTTGCGAACAAGTCTATGAAACAAGCTTATTACCACACTACCTAGATGGTCAGACCGAACATGGTGAAGGAAAATTTGAACCTGTGAATAACTGAATGTGAGTTAGGTACTTAGCACCACTGAGAATCACCTCTAAAATGTCGAACATAAGTAACTTACCATAAAGAAACGAAGTGATCGATTTTGACGCAATAGTAAGTAGAACAAATAGATAAATATTTAGAAAGTCACTCACCCAATTATTGGTTGAATCGTAATATGTGATGCCAAAGAATTCAACCTCTAATAAACCAAGATGTGTACAAACAGCATCGAATAATTGTTGTCCATAGGCAGCTTTCTGAAACCAGAAAAACGTTGACGATTGTTTCAGGAAAATGGATATTTAGCTCTAATTTAGTTAATGTACAGTTATTCACATATACATACTCATATATATCATTCAGATTAACTACGAAAAAGTGTTTTAAGTTATGAATAACTAGTCCACGATGTTAATAAGTTATGCTTTGTGAATGTATTTTACGATTTTCAAAAGAATATATGGAAATTGTATAGGATTAACTCACTTTAATATGTTATGACCTGTTATATGTTTAAAGATGTAGATTTGTTATCATTTGAGCTAAGGCATGAAAACTAAACAAACATTAGTTTATACACACTATAACAGGCTAAACTATTTGCTTGTAGTGTTGATCCCAAGATTATCTTAATCTGATGATGATTGTCTATTGCTTTCCTTCCCGACCGTTGTCGCTACCTTGACGTGGTGGTCGGGCTTGCCTATCGTGATGAAGCAACTGAGCTATACTGGCTGGAACAACCGTTCCTCAAGATCCTACCACGCCAGACAGGTCGGTTGAAAAGCGGTAAGACTAAAAGCAACAAATCCAAGGTCCGAAGGTGTCAGTGGGACATAGATTGGATTTAAGCATGCTCAATGCACGATTACTTTGGCGCACGCTGATTGGCTGATTCATATCCAATCAGCGCTAGTCGATACATGGAGAAGACTCTAGATTCTTCTTATGTAAAAACTATAAATATACTAACGGTTTTCCTTTTGTGCTTCTTGCTTCCATCTAACCTTGTTACTTGGAATATAATCTCCTTCCTGCTTAACCGTGTTCTGATTTGGGGCCTTGTCGAGTGAATCTGTGTCCGTGAATACTAAGTAATAGGAATAGCTGGGTTATAACCGTAAGAGAGAGAAACATAACAGAAGGCGAAGTTGTACTGCTGACTGTACACGGGTGTGACAGCAGTAAGGTGTTTCCTTCAGACAACCAGCATAACAGCGATGTTGCCTTCCCGCAAGGGGAGGTGGGACTAGAAAAGGTCGACCCTAAAAATGCACACCTCGCCTTATCCCACGGATATCCGTCTCCGGCGGTAAGGTCTTAACAAGTACGGAACTAACACAAAAACTACTCATAAAAAGGTCGTGTGTGACCGATCTCAAGCAACTGTCCCTTGGGCACTGCGATCACGCCCTCACGTCACTATGACCACCTCTAATCCAATTTCCTTTTCAGGTACCTCCAGAAGAACCCTTCCGCGGTGTGGGCAACAGGGAAGTAATAACCGCCCTCATACCTCTAACAGCACTCAATTGCTTTCCTTACTAAAATGCAGGTGTATTCTGTGTGTTTGCTGGGTCGTTGGACCACTTCCTCTTTTCCAGCTCTCCGTATTCACGATACTCCGTATGGTCCCCTAGTACACAAAGTATTTTCTGGCTAAATGAGAACGACTACAACATAAGTATAAAACATCCGTGTAGTTACATCAAAAGCAAAATATGATGCAAATTAGCAATTTGTTTTTTTGAGATAATTATTTAAATACTTGAAGTGGTGTCGTAAGACTATGAAAACGGGAGCAGTTTAGTTTTAGGGTTTAACAGACACAATCATTTAAGATTTGAAAAGGTTTCGTCGAAAATTATTCGTAATAAGGAAAGATACTGATTTTTTTTGAAAAACATTTTAACAATGTGTAGGAACTAAACCACTCTATATGTGTAATGTTAGTCACGAAGATTTATGTTTTTTGATGGGCAATAAGAATACGTTTTTGTTTGTTAGAAACAGACATGTAACGATGAATCGAGCCTAAAAGTAAAAACTCATAGTATCCACAGCTTCATGTTTATTCTCTCATCATTTTTCATGACTTTAGGTGTCTAATCAGTCAGTTATATGCAACGTTTATTTATTTCTATTTATTTTAACACATAGATATTGGTACAAGGAGGCACCAAATACATATGCGCCACACAAATCTCAATTGATTTGTGTGAGGGCTGTGATACTGCTCGGGTGTCCAAACCGAAGCAGGTGGTTTTCTTAGGGGGCCACACCCCGAGCTTTCGACCTGAACGTCTGACCCGCAAAGCAGTGGAGCATCATGAGCAGATGCAGTCCCATGATAGCTGGTGACCAACGATTGGTTCATACGCCATTTGTTCCTTCAGGATACTGGAGCCCATGTGCACCACTGGTTTGGAATCAAGGTTTACCAACTCCCCTAAGTGAACTCTCCGTGTCCACCAACCCGGTTATAGCGCCGGACATTCGCTCTTCGTCCTCTCAATTTCGTAAACAGCACCCCCGCCACAAGAAGGCAATGAGTAGGACTTCCCTGGCAGAGGCTATATACGCGTGACCATGTGAGAGCATTTCGAGAGGGAGTGTGGACTCTCCCCACTCTCGGCCGTACCAGGGCATTTGGGGGCATATGCAACGTAGAACCAGGAACATTGCATATTACTGACTGAAATACTATTAACCATCAGCTATTGATAATTACTCTCCCAGAGGATAAATTCACTTATAGAGAATATTAAATAGACCTAGTCAGATTGTCAGGTAAATCGTTGTGGGGAGATAAACGTTTTAATTTAACCTGTGAATGAAGAATAATTGTCATCATGAGTTTAATCATCGTTACTTGCAAGAGGTTGCTCAAATCTGATGGGAATACTATGTTAGCAATTCTGAGAACCAGTAGTATGTTCAAGCACAATGTCAATTATTCAATTTGGTGTCATCATGTTCGGTCGTTTGTACATATTTTACGAATGTTTCCGTAGCAGCTTCACACTGTACATTATTTTCAAACGCTAGGATTGTATGTAAGAAGAGAGGTGGTCAGTTTATGATATGGAGTAATGATATGAAAAATAACTGTAGGATAGGCCGGTTCATCATGCCTTCTAGCTTGGAGTGCTAAATACCATGTAACTCTGTCTTGAAACGCTACCAGATAAACTTCGGAAAAAATCCAGTGGCACTTTTGCCATCACTTTCTTCATAAAGTTGCACTACCTTATATGTAAGACATTCTCCTTGGCTATATTTCTAAATGAACCGCGTCTGTATTTAAATATTATTCTCGTTTATTTAATTATGGGCTCTATGACCCTTCCTCGTCTCTTCACAGTCACTACTACATTTATATGATGTATTCTTTAGTGACCTAAAGTGCGGGTATTAGCAGTAAAAAAATATCAATAATATAAAACACCTCTAGCTTTCAAACTTATTATCTGATGTATTTGAGGAAAACTAGTAAGAATATCACGAAATTTCGAAATTGACAGTACACAAGAATATAACATGTGCTACATTTCAGTACGGAAACTTTAAGTTGATTATTCTTAAAACTATCAACACATCATAAATTTAGATAAACAGTTAAAAGGCACTGAGGACATTCTTACTGACAGTTTGAACTGTGAACAGTAGTCCGTAGAAGCAATAACTCAGTACAAGCATTAATTCGATGAAACAAAAAATTATGAGTAAACTATATTAACTGCAACTTACATCTAAACGAAACTCTCTTGTTGTACCATCCAGCATTACAACCGTACAATCTACTATTTTACCAGAAGGTTTAAAATCAACAACCGATGGGTGTGACGATCCACGTAGAGTACCGCCAACTGGGCGTGGTAAGGGTGAGTTACCGCCTAGTAAACTAGATGATCCATTGGCTAATACAACAGCTGAACCACTGGAAATACTTCCCAACCTGTGTGCAGTTCCAGAATTAGGACCAGTGCTATTGAACCTCCGAAGACTCATGTAGTATTCTTTCTTAGGCAATCGGTCGGTTATCTCAATAGTCCCATCTTGCAGCTGGCTCCAACTATGACCTTCGAGATGCAAGAGGTTAGTGGATTCCCCAACTGTTTCGTTGTCTGATAAAAAAGTACTCATTGCTGGCGGTTCCATTGCATAACTCATGCCAAAAAGGAAGGGAATGAGTGCGAGCTGAAACAAAAGTTAATCACGAACCGTTAGAAACACTGCATTTTGAAAAATAGTCCTTACACTATAAAGGGTCACTGAGATAAATTATGGATAACTGAATAATGATTACCCAAAAGATATAGCACCACAAAAGACTCAGGATATAAATGATATTTTGTACATCCGAAGTTCCCCAACACTTTAAAAGTACTCCGAAAAATGGAAAGTTATGGTTGTTGGGATCGTATGAACCTGAAGCTGTTTTAATAATAATTAGTGTATCACTCAGATACCTTAATGTTTACAAAAACGTATAACAGTGGAAGCCATTTACAGAAGTGGTCACGTAAATTCATTTACGAAATCATGAAAAACGATAGTGGTAATCTAAGCGCCAAGAAGTGAAATTCAGTATCGCAAATTAAACAAATGCGCTATATTTACACACTGAATACAAATACATGGTTTCTTTTTTAATAGCACCTGTTCATGGTTTTGGAGCAACCAGTTTACTGAGAACTGATATCATTATGTCCTTCATATCATAATACAAAAAATGAACTGTATATTAAGACTGGTCTTAACATGTAAGATGTAGATGAAATGACAGAAATGTATGTAAATACAGCACAATAAATGTTTGGCTCCGGTGTTTATCTTATAAGTGACAGAAAACGGAAAAGACTTAAACACAATCCCAGTGAAAATCAGTCGTATCTATTGAAATATGAATCGATAGAAACTAGTTAGAGGTATTTTGATATCTGACCATGGAATGTATTGAAAAATGTCTTTTTTTAACTCATTCAGTTTAGCGAGTTTTGTAAGGGAATGTGAGTGTTTTACACCAAATATTAGTCAACTGATCCTTTCATAACTTTCATTTATACGAGTGACAAAAACCAATTACAAAAATATTTTCCTTAGCACTTGGTCTTCATATAATATCTTTCAGTAAACGGTGGGTGGAAGTTTTATTTGATGATTTTGAGCATTAATAGTTTAAGTCGAGTTTGAAGTAAGCCAGAAGTATGATGAAAATCACGTACTTTGAAAAAGAATGAGACCCCAATCCATTGCAACATGTGAGATAGTCGGGGATAACATGAGATGAACACAACTACATTATGAAATAATTCCCTAACAAAAAGGATCTGCAGAGCATATTATGTCAAGCGAAACAAAACAGAAGTTGAGTAAGAAATCGGAAATCCCAAAATCCAAAAATGAACCAGATATACTAACTGATTATTGAGAAGAAACTGCTGCCACACAATCGAAATGTTTAAATTGATTGTCCAAATAACGAGAGTACAATACTCATGCCGAATATTGACGTCATAAACATGAACAAAGTTCGCTTTTGACCAATATGAAAAATTCCTTACGCTCAAATATTGTAGAGATTAAAAACATCTTTAAATGCATCGATTCTCGCATGTATATTAACAAGTGTTTAAAACATAGAAACATCACAAAAAAAACCTACATTTGTTACTGGGTGCATCGGTCAGAATGCTCTCTCATTACAAGCAGAACACGCCATTTAACATAGGTTTGTCGAAAAAAACTTCGATGAAGTTGTAAATTAGTATGGACGAAAATACCGGCAGGTAAATATTTCACGATGTGTGGACACAGTTTACACCTAAATTTATAGTTTTAAGAAACTATGCTGAAGAGAAACACTCTGAGAGGCTGTAGTTGTCAAAGGCATAGTAGCCCCTACTAGTGAGTGGAAAGATAACGCACCAGGACTACATGTACTAAGCACGGAATGCCATCTGGTTATGGTTAGATGTGTAACGGCTTCCTGTTTATTAAGAGGAAGTCTTTTAGTTAAACTAAACCGGACAAGACTGCCATTTTTAGGAGACAAGCCACTAGATCAGTATCTTATGATCAACCAGTCAACCGTCCTAAGATATACGACAAGGATGTAATCACTAGTTCAACCAAAATAGGTCAGATGATGTGAACAGTCCCTGTCACTTAACAAGTGAACTGAGATTTGCAAGACATATCACTTAAGATATTCTTCGGTCGTTACAGTGATGAAAAATTTAAATCCATACTATTTTAAGCAACCCACATATGAAATTTTTGGCCAAGAAGTTCATGGACAATCAAATGAATGATCACATGTGTGTTGAATATGAATAGTTGACGCAACAATACACAATACAACAAAGCCAAAAACAACTGTATTGCGCATAGTTTACCCAAATAGCTACCTACGAGAACCAAAACGTAAAGCGCGCTTCGTCCGCTTATCTTTAAAGGCCAGAAGATCTTAATAAACAATAGAGAAACATTATATACCGAACTTAGCCATTCTCATTAGTTTGCTTATAAAAGTGGTTTGACGGCATCAAAATGTATTATTATATTATCATTACGTGAATAAAACTTCGCATTCAAAAGGTCGGCATGAACTTCAAACGTTGCTGAACAGAATAGATGACTGCTTATTCGTTAATGCATTTCTGAGCTAAAAAAGATGATCACTTGGTATTAAATAGGATTGCCTTTATTTTCACACTTTTTGAAAACAATGGGAGAAATTGCGAACTTTTCATCAATAAAATCAAAGTCAAAGGGAAAAACTCATTCAGTACATACGATTCAAATATGGTTCTCAGACCTGTCTTCTAAGAAGGTATCGAAATATGTCCTGAGTACTCGGTCAGCGAATGTATTTTGTAGATTATAGACTTTCATCCTGAAAAAGTAATCATGGATCCTAGTGAAAAGCTTCGAAGTTCCTAAAGTGATATTTTGTGTGGTATGGTTTAGTGAACTGCGTTGTACTAGTCCGCATGTACTTCTGTGATGCAGATGTTAAGATGCACAATTATCCTGGGGAATGTGGTTCTATTGGGAAATACTGATTCACCAGTACAGACCAAGTTACTCCTTTCTACTCACATGCTCATGTTGAGTTGTCAGCATAATATGAAAGATAATAGAAATATAGATGGCTAACGTAAATGATCTCCGTCGAATGAGTAGGGGCCTACTGGAGCTGGACGAGAATGGTGTGATCAATTAGCTAACTTCGAAGTCACACCTCGCGGTCAGCACCTAGGTGGATTGGTGTGGTGTTTGAATGAACTAATGACTCCTTTGTACTTGTTGAATGTTTGATTTCGAATTCTAAATACAGTACATTCGTTGGTGCTTGTGTAGTACTTCTTGATTCAATTGCGTTATCCCTGGCATTATTAGTTCATACTATAATTCAACTACTTCTAATTATCATATTGGTGTCGCGATGGAGCCTGCGATGGAACAGTTAGATATTCATTCAACTTCTGAAGCTTTTGAGGACTATTTGGAAAGGTTTGAAATTTGGAGCATGACCAAGAAGGATGTTAAAGGTGATAAAATTGTGGCTTATTTCCTGACATTCATCGGAAAAGAAGCATACAGCTTATTGAAAACCTTGGCATATCCAGAAAAACCTATCTCACTTCCTTATGCAACTATTAAGGAGTTATGATTAAATCATGTAAAGTGCACTAGTTTTGAATGCCGTGAAAGGGCAAAATTTCATAAGATGACTCGTCGAAATGACCAGAAGGTTAAGGAATTCATTCTTGAATTTCAGAAACAAGCTGCCAAATGTAATTTTGGTGATCAACTTCATGTGCAACTGAGAGATCGATTAATTGCAGGAATTAACTTGCCGGGTTTGGAAAGAGAGCTGTTAAGAATGCCAAACTGTTCCTTTCAAGATGCTAGAACTGCGTGTATTAACTACGAGGCAGTGAATGAACTTGATATCCAGTCGATGAATATTTCTAATACTTTGCTTAGTCGTCATGATGAAATACAATCTCAGGGTCAATCAAAATTGCGTTCGTTTAACAGTGGTTTCTATTCTCGTGTAAATATGAAAGATATCTCAACAAGGGATTACAAAAGAAATCACAAAGGTGAGACCAAGTTTGGCAAATGTTTATCATGTGGAAAAATTCATTCTCGTAATTCATGTGCATTTCGTAATGCTAAATGTTTTAGATGTGGTAAGATAGGACACATTCAATCAGTATGCAAAGCTACTATTCATTTTGCCTCAAGTAGTACCAAATCTTGTAATTTAGATCCCGGTGATTCAGCTGTTCCTAATGATCATTTATCTTTGTCTACTGTTTCGAAAGGTAATGCTCATATTCAAAGGCGATTATATACATCGCTTGGTTCATGTCATGACTTTATTGTTGACACAGGCAGTATAGAGTCCATTATTTCATTCAAGAACTTGAAATCTTTAGATCCTAATGTTGTGGTACGACCCACTGAGGTATCAATATTGGGGATTACTGGACACAGACTGCCTATACGAGGATGTTGTGAGTTGCTAATAAGAGATGATAATTCTTCGTACATACCTTGTGAATTTTTAGTTAGCGAAACAGGACTGTCAATATTGGGCTTAAGGAATTTGAAAAGGCTTAAAGTGGAGCTGTCTTTCCTAGTTTCTAAAGAAAACAATGATGCTTTACTTAAAGATTTGATAGCCACGTGTGCTAAGTGCAGTGGAGGTATGAAGATTCAGCCTATGAAACTTCAAGTACAGGGTGAACCAGTCTTTCTTAAAAGACGAATAATTCCTTATGGTCTTCGAGAGGCAGTACATAAAACATTAAACGATATGTGTGCGAAAGGCATAATTGAACCGATCCAGTCCTCAGCATGGGGTACTCCTATTGTTACGCCACTGAAGTCGGATGGCAAAACCCCTAGAATATGTGGTGATTATAGATTAACACTGAATTCCCGTTTGTTGAAGCAAACATGCACGACGGTAGAGGCTGAAGATATTCTAAATCGACTTCATGGTTCTAAAGTGTTCTCTAAAGTTGACCTAAAAGATGCTTATCTCCAAATCCCTTTAGATCAATCTTCATCTCTTTTGACGACAATTAATACTCCTTTTGGTCTGTTCAAATACAATTTCCTTCCATTTGGTCTAAGTTGTTCTCCAGCTATATTTCAGGAAGTCATGAATAGTGAAGTTAGTGATCTTGAGGGCGTTGAAGTTTATCAAGATGATCTCATCGTCCATGGTTCTGATAAGGTATTTCATAACCAGAGACTTATTGCTTTTTTGCGTCGTTTAATTGAGAAGAATATTACAGTGAATCCAAATAAGTGTTCATTTTGTGTATCTAATTTCGAATGTCTTGGATACCTAGTTGATGGTAATGGTTTTAGACCAGATGTGAAACGACTAGCTCCACTGACAAATGCACCGTCTCCAAAAAATCTTACGGAACTACGTTCACTAGTGGGTGCTCTTCAATACTATTCCCGTTTTATTCCTAATTTTTCTTGTCGTGCAAATTGTTTATTTAATATTTTGACATCCAATTCATTTAAATGGGGTGAGGAACAAGAGTCATGCTTACGTAGTCTACTAAAGTTTCTTCAAAGTGATGCTGTTCTTCGAACTTACTCCCCTAGTGTACAGTCTGTACTTATCACTGATTCATCACCTGTGGGTATTGGCGCAGTTATGGAACAGGAGGGTAGACCAGTTATTTGTGTTTCACGCAAACTTACTGTTACTGAACAAGGTTATTCACAGACTCAGCGAGAAGTATTAGCTGTGTTTTGGGCTGTTAAAAGACTCCATAAATATTTATTCGGAAAGAAATTCACTATTGTTACTGATCATGAGGCTTTAAAGTTTATTTATCATCCTGAAAAATCCTTAGCACGTTCCTCAGCTGCTATGGTTCAACGATGGAGTATTGCTTTGAGTGCCTATGACTATACGGTTCAGCATAGGAGTGCCAAACAAATTCAACATGTTGACTACATTTCTCGACAGTCATTACAAGATAAACCTGTAAATACTTCAGACTGTTTGTTAGTGCAACCTTTACCAGTGAAACGTCCAGATCTCATTAGAGAAACTCGTAAATACTTTGGATGTATAATTAATGCTATACGGAAAGGTTGGAATGCTAATTTGAAACGTAGATTTCCTATCTATTTTTCAAAGCGGGATGAGCTATCTACTACTCCTGATGGTATTTTGTGTTTAAATGATCGTGTTGTTATTCCTCCTTCATTGCGTAAATCTGTCCTAGAAGATCTTCATAGTGGACATCTAGGTGTTGAAAAAATGAAGTCATTGGCGAGGCTCACATGTTGGTGGCCAGAGATAAATGCAGATATTGGTCGTACAGCAAACAATTGTGAAAAGTGTCATAAGCTGAAAAATCAGCATTCGAAGTGGACTCCATGGCCAGTATCGTCTGAGGCCTGGCAGAGAATTCATGCAGACTATTGTGGTCCGTTTCTTGGCAAATACTATGCGCTTGTAGTTATTGATTCTTTTTCAAGGTGGCCTGAAGTTTTCTTCACAACTTCACCGAATTCTGACTTCACAATTCAAGCATTAAGAAAGGTGTTTAGTCGAGAAGGGGTTCCAATGGTGTTAGTAACTGATAACGGCTCTCATTTTGCTGCAGATGCAGTCACTACCTGGTTAAATGGTATAGGGTGCAAACATCTGTTTACTGCTCCCAGACATCCTTGTTCCAATGGTCAGGCAGAAAATTTTGTCAGGACGTTAAAAACTGCCATTGATTCTATTGCTGCCTCAACATTTAATGAGCTGGAGAGGGGAGTAGATACCTTTCTACTGCAATATAGAAATGCCAGAAATTCGGTGACGAAAGAGACTCCATCAAAACTATTAAAAGGAAGAACTCTTCGGTCGAATATGAGATGTTTGGAGTCTGCAGAAGTTACGTATTATCGTGGCAATGATCTTCGACCATCCACGGGGATCGTTCTGAAGAATGTCGGGAAATCTATGGTGCGACTTCTAGATATCAATGACTTAAGTACACACAATCGACATGTTGATCAAATACAATTGCAGCAACCAGGTTAGTCTGTTCCGATTTCAGTTGTTAATTCTAATACTAATGAGTGCATTCTAGATAATACAGAGTCTTTATCCAATACATTGTCGGACAGATACAGCATGAACTTGAGGAGAAGACGTACAATTGATTACAGACACTTAGACTCTAATTTAAGCTGTGGCGGATGTGGTGTTTGAATGAACTAATGACTCCTTTGTACTTGTTGAATGTTTGATTTCGAATTCTAAATACAGTACATTCGTTGGTGCTTGTGTAGTACTTCTTGATTCAATTGCGTTATCCCTGGCATTATTAGTTCATACTATAATTCAACTACTTCTAATTATCATATTGGTGTCGCGATGGAGCCTGCGATGGAACAGTTAGATAT